TTTTCCTAGGGGTTTTTTTTCCGGGGGTTTTTTTTCCGGGGGTTTTTTTTTCGGGTTTTTTTTTTCCGTGGTTTTTTTTCCAGGGGTATTATTTCCTAGATTCGTCAAATTTAGACCAAACATTTTGACAAAAAATAGGAAGAAAGTATAATTTAAATAAATATAAGATAACATTATTCATTTGGATAAAAGGGTGAAAAGACTCATCCCACAAATAAGTTTTATCACACTTTTTTTTTAATTTATACAAAATCACAGTTTTAATATTATAGGTTTTGTTTAATCTTTAAGTTTTACCATAAATTAAAATAATATCAATTTTTAAATTAAGTGAAAATAAATTATTTTCATTATTCCCAAGAAGACTTCTGAAACTTCGTGATTATACCACACTGAAAATATTTTTTATGTCTACTGTATGCAAAAAAGTCTAAACGCTTCTCAGATACAGAGTTGCATTTTTTAAATTTATTTAAAAACCCGTATCTCGATTTTTTTAAACTTTAAATTTATAAAAATATTGGTAAGCTTTTCTCGAATATTATTTGTAAGAAGAAATGACACGCCACTGCCTTTAATTTGTTTTTATATTTATTTCAGATCAAACTATTAAAAATAAAACTCTGATTTTACATCTCGTGTAGGATTATTTAAAAATGGTAAATATAATATTTTATTTTAAATATGCAACCCCCTCAATAGGAGGTTTTAATTTTATTTTATTTAATATTAAAGTAGGTAATTTTAAAATTAGTTAACCCTATAAAAATAAGTGAGTTAAAGTTCAAAAATAAACGTTAGTCACCTTTAAAATTATTATAATTAGGTATCATAATATAATATTTAGAAATAAAGTATAATCCCCATATATTTTATTAGTTTACAGTAATTAAGTTTGAAAATTTTAAAATTAAAATTACTTCATTAATAAATTTTCAATAACTCAATTTAATGTCAATAATTATTAAAAAGTTTATTAGATAATTCTAATTATATTTTAATTCGAAGTTTGCAAACTTTATTAGTTACATACCTAATTAAAAGAAACCTTTTTAAATAATTAAATTAAAAGGATGATTTTTTGTCAATAAACTATGTTATTTAATATTTAAAACTGTAAAAAATACTTTGTTTGGCATTGTTAAAAATGCAATATCTGAATTTTTTATCTTTTTGAATTAAACAATGAAAGATTTGTTGTACCGGAAGAGCATACTTCAATTATAATTAGTTTATTTCATAAATGCATTGTTTAAGAAATTCTTTTGCCATCAAACGACATTTTTTAAATTTGGTTTACTAATTCGCACATAGATACTGATCATACACTATGCTTTAACATTTGAATAAGAAATAAGGAATGCATAATAGATAATAAATGGAATGCACCCCCATAATAATTATTGAGGTTATATCTGCACCATTTGGGAAAAACTAGATAAGACAAAAAGTACAGCTTTTTAATCAGCACTTTGAAGTTTTCAGTATAAATCAAGTTTTTATAATATTCATACCAAATTATTATTTTTCTTTTTTTAAACTGGGTGCATACAAAATTTGGAAAAAACAAAAAAAATATTATCCTTTTTATTTATAAGTTATATTTATATATGTCAATTCTTGATATTGAGAGTTGTCCTCAAAAAATTGAGGAGCGTTTATTCAAAAAGGGACATGTCCATTTTAGCTATTTTCAGAAATAAGTCAAAAGCAAAAGAATTTTGTTATTTTTGACTTGTTTCTGCAAATCGCTAAAATGGACATGTCCCTTTTTGAATAAACGCTCCTCAATTGGGCTAGGTAAATGTTTGGGAGAAAAAACGATTTATTAAATAAACTATTATCTAGGTAGGTAATAGTGTTTAAATTAAAAAATCAAAGTAGTCAATGAGGAAAAAAAGTTTAAATTTAAAAAAGCATAAACTATGGTTGACATTAAAATAATTGACATTGACGTTTTTGTGATTTATTGGAGTACTAGTACTTGGTACGTCACCTTTGGACGGCCATAGAGTTCTCATAAGACATTTAAGGTAGTATCTCCATTTGAAAAGTTTAATAAATTATTTATTATTATAAATAAATAACAGTAGACCGATACAACAAATTCAGCGGTGCCAATGTAGTAAAAATGAAACGTTATATTTTAATTAACAAATTACTACTTTATTACATATTAAAGTATCATTAAAAACTAAAAAGATAAAAAATAATGAAGAAACAATATAAATTGTTAATTTGTTGTAATAATATCAACATTAAGGTTTAAAACTGTCATATTTTTTTGTTTCTTAAGTTGGCAGCACGACATTCAAAATGACAATTTTTAAGTCCAAATTTTTTTTTAGATCTTCATAAAAAATATACCTACTGTAATAATTAATTTTTAAGCCATTAACATGATCCTCTTTTGATGATCGAGTTTGGAAACGCATTTTTTTCTATAGATTAGGTAAAAAAATGTTTCCAAACTCGGAAAACGAAATAGGATCATGTTGATAGCTTAAAAATTTATTATAATGGTTTTTTCATGGAAATCTCATAAGCGAGCTCGTGAGATACAGATACAGAGTGGCTTATGAAAACAACTGTAAGTTTAAACAATATTTTCTTGGAATCTGTGCTGTAAAAAAATCTGTAAATATTTGTAAATAGGTTTGTTTGATGATTCAAAAATTTTATATTAAATTTTGAAGACATTACATGGAAACTTTAAATGAAGATAAGGACCTAAATTCATATTAACTTTGTCCATGTTTTTCTATTCTATTCCCCTTGAAATATACGAAGGGAGTTTCTGGACACCCTGTATATTAATTAATTAAAACATTTTCACTTTTTCAGTTTGTATTTTGTAGTACTTACTAATTTTGAACAGGGTTGAACAGTTAAAAAAGTCATACCTACTTTGTTAATTTATTTAGACTTCATTAATTAGAATTAATTAACTCTTTTAATTTAATATTATTATAATACCTATTAATATATTATCAAAAAAAAATTAGTAAGTACACTGTTAACATTAATTAATAAACGAATTTAAGTTTTTAAAATTAAAATGAAAAAAAATTAGGCTCTCTGATTTGTTCAGCTAATAACCCTGGAACTTTATTTTATACACATTGTGCTTTCCAATAGAACGTTTTGTAGCCCTGGGTTTTAAGTTTGCGTTCCCATTACTCTTGTTTTCCACACTCAATGTAGCATTAGGGCTGCTTTAGGTAGGTACTTATAGCAGTCAATTAGAAGCACCTTGTATTCACTTGTGCAAAATATTTTACACGAAAAAATCCAAAATAAATAATACCTAATAAAAAAATAATAAAAAAAAATTCGACCGATATATCGCTATCGGCCAAGAAATCCATATCAGTCGAACCCTAGTAGATATATCTGTCAGTTAAACGTTAATTTCAGTAGAATTGAGGTTAGGTAAGTACCTATTAAACCTTTCAAATTTACCATAGTTACAACCAAAGATAATACCCCCCATTATTATCTTTATATCTTTAGTTACAACCGAGGTTACAACTAAGGTTACAGATACAAAATGTCATCTTGTCAGTTGAACCTACCCTAAAAATGATGTGACAAAATCTTAAGGAAATATTCTAATTAAATGCTTAAAAAAATAGTATATAAAACACGTCGGAGAAATTAATAGTAATTGCCTCGCAAACAATCTACTGCCTAATTTTATTTATAAATGTATCTTTTATTATTTAACTTGATATATCCAAGATTCAAAATAGTACACACTGTAATTTTAGTTTCAAATATATTGTTTTATTTACCAATTTTAAATGCAAATTGTATTTTAATGAGTTTAAGTGAGGGCATGGCAAAACTTTTATATTATAGAAATTCCTTTATGCAAGTAAAATAAACTTTAATTTATGCTTGGAGATAAACATAGTATTTTAAATGATATTGTTAATTATGCCCCTCTGATAACAAACATGAAATATTATGTTGGGCTAGTTATTAAGATTGACACCAGATGGTAATTTACCATATTAAATTGATGAAAAGGATACCTACATATATCTAGCTACCTAAATGTTTAACAAATGCAATAAACTAAAAATGACTAATTTTAAGTGAATACAAAATTGCATAAAACTAATTTTTGAATGTTTTTGAGGAAATATTCACTTTCTTTTATAAAAGTACGCATTTACAAAGTATTTGCAAAAGTAAGTATAATAAATCAAATATTTTATTATAAAAAACAACATGTTTGGTATCTGTCTTATCTTGAGTTAATTAAAATTTTATTTAAAATTTATTAACAATAAAAAAGTATAGGTAGGTACCTATATAGAAGTAATTTTACCGGTTCAACATTTAAAATAAAACTTAATAACCTAGATACCTATGTAAAAAACAATAATTACTGCATTAATATTTGATTAACATTAAACCACAAATTAACAAAAAACTGTTCTTTAACCTCTATAAATAACAATTATTGTATACCTATTTGTTTATGGTTTTTATCAAAAATAAATTAAAACAAAACAAAAAATGTAAATAGTGAGAAAATGTACTACCTGTACCTACTTTATGAGTAAAGTAAAATTATTATTGATTTAAATATCTAATTAAACTATTTCACACAAAAATTTTATAAAAATAGTTTAAAAATCTCAGGTCAACAATACAACTAATTTAATATAATTATTTTATAATACAAAAAATGTACTAGTTTAAAAAACATTGAATTGAATACATACCTAAGTACCTAGTTTATAATAAAAAAGTTAATATTACCTAGGTACATTACATGTTTTAATTTTCTTGTAAAATTAAGTAAACAGGGCTAAAATGTTTTTAAATTCCATAAAAATTAACTTAAAAATTCTTGGGTGGTTTTACATTTGAAAACAAAATTCTATTGTTCAGATGCTGGGTTTTATGAGCAAAGAACAAGAGAAAATCTGAGCAATAATTAAAAAAAATTGCATGTTTTGGAATAAAGGGGGAAAATGCAAACTTACCAAGGAGCAAAAGTTTAAGTTCTCGGCGAGCATCTCGCTTATCTCGTCGGAGCTGTTTTTCAATTTCAGCGTTGATTCGTTTCTGTTCTCGAGCCTCATCTGATTGACAACACTGCATGTTCGTGCTCTTGTTGATGGGGCTGTTTAAGGCAACTCCTCTTTGATATCATCCACGCCGGCTAGACCAAAACACACCTACAGACTGACACTTCCTGGAACGGCGACCATCGCAGTTAGCTGGGTGTGGTGATTAAGTTTGACCGCTGACATGCTCGTATAGTCACGTTAGCCCTGAATTTAATCTCGTTAAGATAACTAGATTGCAGAAGCCTCATCCACGTTGAGATATAAGGAGATTAGAGCCCCCAATAACGCAATTTCACTCGCCTCTATACCCCCTATCTACTATTCTAAACGTTAATATTCGTCGTCGAAACCGAACTCACTAAATTTTCAAGCACTCACACACGATCATTGTTTTTATAATTGCCCATCACAACACAACATTTACCTATTCACTGTGGAAAAACTCCATTTCACACTTAGCAGCAACCGCCTCTTGTCAACATGGCGCTGCCCTGTACATCAGCCAATAGCAAGCACGCAAGACAGGAAGTCTACATGATACATATCCCGCGAATTTAAATATTAAACCATTTATCTTCTGTGTCAAAATTTAAACAAAATGCATATTACATAATAATAAAAAATGCACAATTAAATATACCTAGGTAGGTACATTCATTTATTAAAAATAAATTACCTTATGTTTCAAGAAATACCTATTAACAATTTATTTTATTTTTATTTTAAAATTATACTTTAAAATTTATTTAAATTAAGTAGGTAGTTTAAATAAATTAATAACTTTCCAATAATATTTTTCATGGCATAAATAATAAATTAATGGATTTTTTCGACGTATTTTAAACCATCCTGTAGGTAGGTATACATATTTATTACATTTTTATAATTATAAATTAATATGTAGAGAATACAATGATAAAAACAAAATTAAAATCAACGTTTTATTTCTGTAACGAACATAATTTTTCTCCTAGGCAAAATAATCCCTGTTTTTAAAGATTTGCGAAATTTCGCGATCGCTCTGCCATCTATCGATTATCTTTTTGACACTTCCCTGACACATGTTAAAAAGAGGTTAAGGTTAACATATTGTCAAAAAGTTGCTTTTAGTTTTTTTTAAATGTCCAAAAAACGCAACAACAAGAAAAATTTAGATGATGATTTCGAAGAATCGGCTAAAAGTAATGCGGAACAAGAATCTAAGGCGATAACCTCAAAAAAATCTAATAAGAAAGGCAAAAAAGGAAAAAAAGATGATTGGAGCGATGATGAAGCAGATACTGGTAAGAATATGTTAAAATATATATTTTAAGTCTTAAATAAAACTGTTGTTTTACGATCTTAAATCAGAGGGTGGAGACTCGATAGCTTCTTCAAAACCAGAATCTGTTAACAAAAAGAAAGGAGGTAAAAAAGGTAGACCCAATAAAAACGACGATGGTTGGGGCGATAAAGATCTAGACATTGAACTAAAAATATCTGATGATGAAGCTATTGTTGCTGCACCTGTTAAGAAGAATAAAAAAAATAAGAAAAAGAAATTGGAAAGTGAAGATGAAGATGAAGATGAAGATGTTGATGATATTCCAGAAGAAATTGTGGAAGAAGCTCCTCCACCAAAACCATCTAAACCTTCAGGAAAAGCTAAGTCAAATGCATTTGCAAACTTAAAAGTTGAAGATGATATAGATGATTCTGAAGAAGAAATTGTAGAGAAACCCAAGGCAAAAAGCAAAGACAAATCCGATACCCCTGAACCTAAACCTGTAGAAGATGAAGAAACTGAGGATATCTCAGAAGGTTTAGAAAATGTAACAATTAAAGATGAAAAAAAGCTTACACATAAAGAAAAAAAGAAGCTGAAAAAGCAACAAGAGTATGATAGGCAAATGGAAGCCATGTTAAGGAAAGGTGGACAAGGCCACTCTGATTTAGACAGCAACTTTACAGTATCACAAGCTCAAAAAACTGCTGGTCAAATGGCCGCCCTAGAAAATGCTGTTGATATTAAAATTGAGAATTTCAGTATATCAGCCAAAGGAAATGATTTGTTTGTCAATGCCACTTTACTTATTGCTCAAGGTAGACGTTATGGTTTAGTTGGACCAAATGGGTAAGTTACTTAACTGTAATAAATGAATACATAACTTTATAAAAATAATATGTATTTTAAATTTAATTTAAAAAAAGTCTTAATAATTAAATATTGTGTAAGTAAATTATTTTAAATATTTTTTATAGGTTCATTTTAAAAAGTTTCAAAAATATGCTGTTAGTAATTTACTTGTAAAAACAAATACCTACTTAAAACACAATAAAGAGTTTGATTTTGTACAAATTTTGTTAATTAACTATAATTTTATCACCAAAAAATCAAAAAATACATTAGGTTCTTTTCTAAATGCATAGATATTTAAGTGCATAATTATATCAAAAAATTATATTAACATTTTAAATTTGAAATAGAATACACCAATTTAAATTATCAATAAAACATATTTATTACATTCAAATATGAGACTTTTTTCAGGTTTTATTAAAAACAGTTTATTAATTATTAACAGATTTTCTTAGTATATCAGTAATTTCATTTTAAATATATAGTTATGATATAGTAAATTCCCAGGTACTTTTTATAAAAAAAAAATAATAATAAATTATCTTAGATATACCATATTTGACTATTTCAAACTCTATGTAATTTTAAATTGAACTGACCTCATAATAAATATTGGCATATATACATATTAATAGCCAAAATATTATATTAAAATGATCATTGCTATTTGCTTGGTTTACATTAAATATTATCAAATTCTGAAAATGTAATTTTAAATACAATAGGTATCATTTAAATATTAAAATATTTATTTGTATTTAAGTTATATTTAAATTTACTGAATGTTACAACTTTACTAATATTATTAATGTAAAACATTTTACTAAAATGTAAAGTAATAATTTTTTGCCAATTGTAAAAAATTTACCTTTAGTAAAAAGCAGTGACGAAGCCTGGAATATTTTGATATATAAACTGATCGAAAAAAGTTAAGGATATTGTGAATTCTCTGAGAAAAAAATGGTTTTCAAAAAAATTTGTATAACGTACATTTACTGTCATCTCTTTTAGAAATAAAACACATTTGTTGAACTGAAAAAATTCTTTAATTAAAATTTACGGGCAACTTTTCTCTAACAATGTAACAAAACAGATAATTATAAAAGAGAAAAAATGATTAATAGCGTGTAATTCCACCTCTGTTGGCTATTACTGCTTCAACTCGGCGAGGCATGCTTAAAATTAAACGATCCAACTCATTTTGATCCAATGAATCCCATAAATATGGAAGAACTTGCCTCAACGACCTTACGTCCTGAACAGGAGGTTGATGGGCAATTAGTGCCCTTCCGAGCATGTCCCAACCATGCTCGATGCAGTTTAAATCTGGAGAGAGCGGGGGTAATGGCAAATGATTAATTTCATGGAATGCTAGCCGTTCATGTACTACCCTGGCTCTGTGCGGGCGAGCGTTATCATCCAGAAATCTGAAATTGGGCTCCAAATTCCAACGATAATCATCCACAATGTAGTCAATGATGTCGCGAGCATAAATTTCACCGGTCATGGTACCTTCACAAACATACAACTCCGTTCGACCTCCGTAGAAAATTCCACCCCAGACCATTACACCTCCACCTCCAAATGGATGCACTTCTTGAACATACCAGTCATTAGCTCTTGAATTTCTTGGTCTCCAGACACGAACTGTACGTCTGTCAGGACGAAGACAAAAGCGGCTTTCATCGCTGAACATCACAGTACGCCACTCATCATTCCAGTTGGTTCTTTCATTACACCAAAGCAAACGTTGAGCTCTATGAACTGCGGTCAATGGAGGGCGTCTTATAGGCCTATAGCAATGTAAACCTGCTTCATTTAATCGATTTAAAACCGTCCTAGGGGTAATACGAACTCTATTGGCAGCGAAAAGGTCCTGGCTGAGAAACGTGCAGTTTCTTGTAGGATCCATCCTAGCTCCTCTCACTAATCTTCGGCCTTCCCTAGCATTTGTCGATCTTGGTCTACCCTCCCTATGCCTTTCCAGGACAGATCCAGTTTCATTAAATCGGTTACTAAGTCGGGAAACTACACTTTGAGAAACATTATACCGATCAGCTACATCGATCTGTCGCGCACCTCCAAGAAGCAATCCAATAGGTGCATATACACGGAACGATTTGTCGACCAATAAATTGTACCAAATAATCGTTAAATAAATTGTTGCAAAAAATCTCAAAGATAAATCGTACATGATCCACTGACGCAAAGTTTTATTTGAGCAATATTTCTGTTCAAATTAATCGGTCAAATTTATTGCTACATGTATGCTGTTTTCAACGAATAATTGGTCAAATTTGATCAAATTATCTGTCATCGGTGATTTTTCGGCATTCTGAAAAATAAGACCAATTTGACGTTTAATGGTGTTTTCGGGATTTTGAATTTGGCTTTAAAAATTAAAGATGAACGAAAATGCTGCTTTACTTGTTGGAATGATGGGATACATGATAATTCAAAAAAGAAGAAGAACAAGAAATCCCACGAAATGGGTCAAAACATGGTTACTGAGAAAAGAGCTGAATCATATGCCGCTTCTAAGACAATTGTTAGAAGATGATCCTGACGATTTTAAAAATTACCTGCGTATGGATGAAACAACTTTTAGGCAATTATTGGAGCTAGTAAAAGACAAATTAACTAAGCAAGATACTGTAATGCGCAAGGCAATTTCACCAGAGGAACGTCTTATTGCAACATTAAGATTTTTAGCAAGTGGACGATATTATAATTGTTTGCGATTCTCTGTTGGCATAGCCGAACAAACTCTTAGAAAAATTATTCCAGAAACATGCCGTGTTTTATTCGAAGTACTGGCAGAAGAATATTTGAAGGTAAATAAGAAATTATATGTACATTTATATTTATTAGGGATCGACCGATATCGGTATATCGGCCTTCTTGGTCGATATCGATATTGGCTGATATGTAAGTGCGATATCGTGCTATATCGACATCGGCCTGATAAAAATTTCTGTAGAAATTATTATTATTTGTATAGAAATTTTTATTAGGCCGATACCGGTATAGGCCGATATTGCACTTACTATCGACCAATACCGGTACCGGCCAAAAAAAAAACGATATACCGACATCGATCGATCCCTAATATTTATATCTTTTTATTGTAAACACTTTTGAATATTAAACAAAACATTAATCATACATCATAACGTAAATATAATAGTATCGTTTGAATTACTTTGTGTCGTAGTCTGCGAAAACTCGAAGTTTGGTGTAATGGAAGAAGGAACACTGCTATGCAGATCTTGAATGACTGTTGTTTTTGTTAGCTCCTGAAAATAGGCTTTTTTCAAAGTCTGATTAATTAGATCTTCATCTAAGATTTTTTGAACATCTGTTAGTTTTCGTACTTTTGCTGCCCAGCCAATTCCAATGGCATCGAATTCATCGATTTCTCGTTTTGTATTAGATATTTTGCTTATGGCTTGTGAACATGTTTCAAGAAATTGTTCCTCTTTTTTTCTTATAATTTTTCTTTTTTTTACTTGCAATTTTGTTTGGTGTTGCAGGTGACTTAAAAACCTGGAAACGAAATAAATACATTTAAATTCAAACGATACATTTTGAAATTATTTACAAGTACATAATGTTTTTAGTGTCCTTCGACTCAAGAAGAATGGCAAGAAATTGCAACACAATTTAAAAACCGCTGGCAGTTTGTAAATTGTGGAGGGGCATTGGATGGGAAACATATTAGAATTTCACGACCACCTCATTCTGGAGCAATGTTTTACAACTATAAAGGATTTTATAGTGTTGTACTTATGGCTTTAGTAAGTGCTGATTATAAATTTACGTGGTTGGATGTCGGCAAACAAGGTAGAATTTCTGATGGAGGGATACTGGATTGGACTTACTTTTATAATGATTTAAAATCTAACAAACTGAATTTTCCTGCAAAAGAAGACAATGACTTCAATTTGGATTTCGTCTTAATTGGTGATGAAGCATTTGCATTGGATAAACATTTATTAAAGCCTTATGCAAAAAGAGAGCTAATGCATGAAAAACAAATTTTTAACTACCGTCTATCTCGTGCCAGAAATGTTGTAGAAAATGCATTCGGGCTGCTTGCAAGCAGATTTAGAATTTTTCACACACCAATAGCAGTCATGAACGTAGAACATATTAATTATATTGTAGCAGCTGCTTGTACTTTACAAAATTTTCTACTGTCAACTAGTTCTACCTATTCGACTAAATCAACTTTCGACAGAACCAATAACAAAACTTGGATAATTGACGAAGGCGAATGGAGACGCGAAAATTTTGTGGAGCTTACTCCGCTTCAACATGCAAATCCGAGGAATGCTAGTGTTGATGCAAAATTAAACAGAGATGCATATTGCGACTTCTTTAATGGTTTAGGAAAAGTGGAATGGCAAGAAAGTATGCTGAGAAAGGGTACAGCTTAAGCGTTTAGTAATTACTATCTTAACTGTATACTTATAAGTATGTAATTTATAACATTTAATATACATATATATAAATAAAAAAAATTAAACTTACTTTTGTGGACTTAGATGTTTCTGCCAAAGACACTTGAGAACTTGATCTCTCACTAAAATCTGTATTTTGACTTTCATGATCATTATTTTGAGTTACATTATTTGCAAAATTGTCTTCCCTATCTTCCTCCTCAATTTCATTAACTTCGTTTTCACTTTCAACGTCCGTATCAAGAGTACTGATATTTGGAAAAGGCCTTTTTCTGCTTTCTAAGCTTGCGCGGGGTAGTACGTCATCGCAGGTGAAAAGAAGTAAATCACAGTGATGTAACCGATACATTTTTTTCAGTATCTAGGTACCGATACAGATACTCTCTGGTAGATGTATCTGGGTACAGATACCGATACATTTTCCCAAAAGTATCTGGGTACAGATACAGATACATTCAAAAAGTATCTAAGTTACTTCCAGATACTATGTTAAAAAAACCTTCAAAATTAAATGACAAAAAAAATTTTTTGGACCTTATAAACAAGCGTGTTAACTATAAAATAAAACTGTTTTGATAAAATTGACGAAATATCCATGAAAAACGGAAATAAATTTTATATTTACGCGCCATATGAAAGCTTAATACAAAATTTGTAGTACAAATTCAAAATTATCAGAACGAAGAAAAATGGGTAAAATAAAATGGGTAAAATAAAATGTATCTTGTATCTAAGGATCTAGATACTTTCAAAAGGATCTAGATACTAAAGTAGATCCTGATTTTTTTAAGTATCTCGATACGTATCTAGGTACATAAAATGTATCTAGATCCAGTATCTAGATACATGTATCTCGATACATTATATCATATATCATATCACTGGTAAATCATAGTACCACAACTTGGGTACATAAATATCGTCATATCCAGCTCCGCTTCTTTTAGACTCTTCTACTCTCCTTAACTCTTTCCGAAAAGCTGTTCTAAGGTTTTGTAATTTTTGCATTACAAATGCCTTATCTGCATCCTTGTAAAACTGTTTACTAAAATTAATTAATTCGTCGTAGCTTATTTTTTTAATATTTCTATTCGTATATTGGGGACTCGTTTTCCATAAACACGGATTATTACGGTATAACTCAAGAAAGCCGGTTATAAACTCTTTGCTTGCCATAATTTATACTATATTACTCAAAACTGACGTACGACTCAAAACTTCAAACTAAAATTTAGCCCGCTATGATCAAATAACTTTCGGACAAGCACACGTACAGCACGCTTTGAAAAATATCGGCAGATTTTTATTGACCGATTTATCTGCAGATAAATCGTTGTGTTTATGTCAAGAGACCAAACTATCGTTTCAAATTATTTTAGTGGATTTATCTTACAATCTTCTTAATTTGTACTTTTCCACTAACGAGCAGTTTTATCTGTATAATTTTAAAAATTTAACGATAAATTGCTCAAATTGGTCGATAAATCGTTTTGTGTATATGCACCTATTAGGTGCATATACACAAAACGATGGCTTGATTTGCCTCTTCTACCGTTAAATAACGTCTATTCATATTGTCGATGACAGAATAACCACACAGACCACATTGCGCTTAGCAACACACAAACAAAACTAAACTGTACAAAAAACTACATTTTTTGTGATAAAATGCTTTTTATCTGTTTGGGTACAATTTTATATGTTTGCAAGCAATATTTTCTTAAACATAAACGTCATAGGTAATAATAGCTATACCACATTTTTTCTAGACTGCACGTTCCTCAGCCAGGACCTTTTCGCTGCCAATAGAGTTTGTATTACCCCTAGGGCGGTTTTAAATCGATTAAATAAAGCAGGTTTACATTGATATAGGCCTATAGGACGCCCTTCATTGATTGCAGTCCCTAGAGCTCAACGTTTGCTTTGGTGTAATGAAAGAGCCAACTGGATGAGTGGTATACTGTGATGTTCAGCGATGAAAGCCGCTTTTGTCTTCGTGCTGACAGAATTACAGTTTTTGTCTGGGGACCAATAAATTCAAGAGTTAATGACCGGTATGTTCAAGAAGTGAAGGTACTATGACAGGTGAAATTTATGCTCTCGACATCATTGATAACATTGTGGATGATTATCGTTGGAATTTGGAGCCCAATTTCAGATTTCTGGATGATAACGCTCGCCCGCACAGAGCCAGGGTAGTACAAGAACAGCTAGTATTCCATGAAATTAATCATTTGCCATTACCCCCCGCTCTCTCCAGATTTAAACTGCATCGAGCATGGTTGGGACATGCTCGGAAGGGCACCAATTGCCCATCAACCTCCTGTTCAGGACGTAAGGTCGTTGAGGCAAGTTCTTCCATATTTATGGGACACCTTGGATCAAAATGACTTGGATCGTTTAATTTTAAGCATCCCTCGCCGAGTTGAAGCAGTAATAGCCAACAGAGGTGGAGTTACACGCTATTAATCATTTTTTTCTTTTTTATAATTATCTGTTTTGTTACATTGTAAGAGGAAAGTTGCCCGTAAATTTTAATTAAAGAATTTTTTCAGTTAAACAAATGTGTTTTATTTCTAAAAGAGATGACAGTAAATGTACGTTATACAAATTTTTTTGAAAACTATTTTTTTCTTAGAGAATTAACAATATCCTTAACTTTTTTCGATCAGTTTATATATAACCCTATAGGGTTAGATAAAAAAGTGTGGTATAAAATCGTGTATTTAAATATACAATGTAATTGTAAATACGACATTATTTAAATATTAAAATATATATTTGTACCTATTTAACTTATATTTTACTAAAAGTTACCACTTTATCGATATTATTCATGTATAAAGAATCTTTTTTATGTAAGCAGTAAAATTATTTTACTTAAATGTGAAGTAATGATTTGTTGCAAATTTAAAAAAAAAAACTTTAGTTAAAAGGAATATTTTAATGGGTACAAAAATATAGGGTTATGCACAGCTTTTTTTGTGAATGACTAGCTAATAGTTGCTATAGCTGTATGTCTGGAATTTTAAATTGCTTAAATGTAGCCGTGCATTTTATTAATTATCGTTAAAATGAATAGTTTATCTAAAAGATTGTTTTAATATGTAAAATAAAATTGATGGTACTAATATTACTTGTATTGTTAAAAATAATAATATTGAAATTTGTGACATTACATTGATGTAATCACAGATTATAAAAGAAATACATGTAATTTAATTCTTGACTTATTCAAAGGGTAAGATACCAACGTAAAACTAAATAAAATCTATAAAATTAATTGCAATTTACAAAAGGTGGGAAAATTCCTAATTTTTTAATGATTATTTGTTAATATGGGTTTCTTCTTTAGTATTATTATCTATGCGATTAGACACAGTTTTCTAGTAAAATCGATTTATACATATTTTTTAATTTTGAACACTAAATCTCTAAAGCGATTTCGGTTTATTAATAGTATATTATGTATCAAGTTTGATAAACGCCATTTTATACACGAATTTAATTTAGGCACGAGCGAGCTTGCGAGCGTGTTCTTAAATTAATGAGTGTATAGAAAAGTTTATAAACGAGGTGCATTAGACTGGGCCAAAAAAATTGACTATTTTTTTTTTTGAAAAATATATCGAGAATGTCATTCAGAATGACAAAAAAAATATTTCGTGAAAATTTGAGCCCTTAATATTAATTTTAAGAGGTCTATCATCACTATTTTTTATTTTTAGTCATAATTTGATGTTTTACGTTAGAACTGTCAAAATAATAAAGTGAAAAAAATTCCTTTTCACTTATTTTTATATAAAATTAAATTCTCTACAAAAAAGGTGTGATTGAAAATTTTCGTCAGACGAGCCGTTTCCGAGTAATTGAGCTTAATAAATCGATGTGTTTTTTCGATTTGCCCTTTTTACTTTGAAATTTTGTAACTAATGAATCAATGAATATTTAAAAAAGCTCACATCGGATTCTTAAAGTAAATTTAATGTTCTACAAAAAAGGTCTCTTAACATTTTTGCCTAAATTTAATTTTTCAAAAGTTATTCACGATTAAAATCGAAGAAAAACTTAAAATTTCAATTTTTTCTTCGTGAATAACTTTTGAAGAATTAAATTTAGGCAAAAATGTTCCGAGACCTTTTTTGTAGAACATTAAATTTCCTTTAAGAATCCGACGTGAGCTTTTTTAAATATTCATTGATTCATTAGTTACAAAATTTCAAAGTAAAAAGGGCAAATCGAAAAAACACATCGATTTATTAAGCTCAATTACTCGGAAACGGCTCGTCTGACGAAAATTTTCAATCACACCTTTTTTGTAGAGAATTTAATTTTATATAAAAATAAGTGAAAAGGAATTTTTTTCACTTTATTATTTTGACAGTTCTAACGTAAAACATCAAATTATGACTAAAAATAAAAAATAGTGATGATAGACCTCTTAAAATTAATATTGAGGGCTCAAATTTTCACGAAATTTTTTTTTTGTCATTCTGAATGACATTCTCGATATATTTTTCAAAAAAAAAAAATAGTCAATTTTTTTGGCCCAGTCTAAGGTGCATACCATACTTTTTCTACGATAAATACTTATTATTATCTTAAAATGATTTAAATCAAAAATTTGTATAGAGCGCCATCTATGAAACAACAGGGGAAACTGTCAAATGTCACATTTTTACATTTTATAAACACAATTATAAATCGAAATGTATCTTGAAAATTGACAGTTTTTCACAGTGAAAGTAAAGGAAATGTTTTATGAAGACTTTACAGTAGAGTCCGTGCCTGAATTTAAGTTATAGTTTACTGCCGGCGAAATTAAAAGGTACAATGTTCATAAAAACTTTTCAAATATTGGCGTTGAGAAACTATTTAATACTTTTGTATTTTTGTATTGAGATAATAAAATAATTTTCACATTTAGTATTATTTTACAAGAAAGGCACTTTATTTTAACGATTGTATGACATTTGACAACTGTCAACTAACTTAAAACTAACTTCAGCCCGTGACTAAAAACCTGTTGCTAACTTCAGCCCGTGACTAAAGCGCCGTAAAGCCACAACTTGTCAATGTGTATTTAAAAAGTGACTTAGTGTCATGGAAACATGTACGATAAAGGGCGTTTTAAAGGTGGGAGTAGAAAAAATCATTTAAGGAACCCATTCAGTATCAGCCATTGATTAAAAAACAACCTGTGTAATATACAGTGTATAAAATGTTTAATATTGACATATTATGTTAAAAAATCCATATTGAAACCATTTGATATTACACAAAGTTGAAAATGCATATTATAATTTCAGTCATGGTAAAACAACCTTACTGAGGCACATCCAGCAAAGGGCCTTTTCCATCCCTCCGAACATAGATATTCTCTACTGCGAACAAGAAGTGGTGGCCGATGACTTGTCGGCCGTCGAATCAGTATTAAAAGCCGACGTGAAAAGAACTACACTGATGGAGGAATGCAAAAAACTCGAGGAGGAATTCAATTCCGGAAAGATGGACGTCCAAGAGAGACTGAACGATGTTTATGCTGAATTAAAAGCTATTGGAGCTGATTCTGCCGAACCAAGAGCAAGGAGGATTTTGGCTGGTTTGGGATTCGATAAGGAAATGCAGGTAAAATATAAAACACTAATACACTGCCCGTCAAAATTAACCCATAATAAGTATAAAAATTATAACTCTAAAACGCCTTGACCAATCTTTATGCAATTTTGTATAAAAATACTCCAACTTATATCTCAGTTTACGTGTTCAAGGGTTTTTCGAAAAAATATCCTTAAAGCCCTTTTATTTAATAATAAAACTCGCTCGAAAAAAACTTTTATAGGGAATTTTTTTAGTAAATAAAAACTATTTTGTGAAAGACCGTATTTTTGTTAGTATACCCTGAAAATTTTGTAAAAATCAAACGAACAGTGACGAAAATATAGCGCTTCAAAGACGTCAAAAATGGCCATTTTCAGCAATATATTCAAAAAGGGGTCATTTTTACCGACTTTGAAGCGCTGTATCTTCGTTACTGTTAGTTTGATTTGTATTTGTAGGGTATACTAACAAAAATTCGGTCTTTAACAGCATATTTTTTATTAAGTTAAAAAAAATTCCCTAAAAGATATTTTTGGAACGTTTTTTTATTATTAAAAAAACCCTTGAACACGTAAACTGAGATATAAGTTGAATTTTTATACAAAATTTTATAAAGATTGGTAAAGGCGTTTTAGAGTTAGAATTTTTTTACTTATTATGCGTTAATTTTTACATTCAGTTTTACTTTGTCCCTAGCTATAATCTTGATGTTGGACAGAAAGTTTTTTTATGTATTGCTTTTAATTGATCGTTTGACCATATTATTAAGCTTTAAAGTTTTTTGTTGTCAATAAAATCAATTTATTAAATGAAATTTACAAATCACAAATATGAAATCCAGGGAAGGTTTTCACTACTTGTATTCAAATGTCAAAAGTAAGACTTTTGGGTGTGGAGCATAGTACTAGACTTCACATCAAAAAGTTTCACTTTGACATTTAAATAAGAATTCACGCCAATTTCCTCTTTTTTTCTAAAAATAATACAATATATCTGTACCCCAGAGCCAAACTGTAGTCCACTTTTTTATAATCACGTTACAAATTTTTTGCCTAGGTTTTTCCGTTCTTATCAATGGTAAACAGGATTAGATTCTAGTTTACTTAGTTTTTGATATGTAAGCCAGCACTTACTCCACAGTTTGGCTCTGGGGTACAGATATGTTTTTTTTGTTAAAAATTAAGACCTTCATACACAAAAAATACATAATAAAGTCCTTTTTTTTCTGGACTGCGGCAACGTTGCAAATTTAGGTTTTGGTTGGTAAAAACAGTTGTCAAGTTGGTCGCATTGATTAAAACAAACTAAGCTAGTTATAAATCTAATTGTGGTTATGTATAAATTATTGTAGGTTACATTGTGCAGTTGTCAAGTTGAGTTGTCGAAATTATAATATAAAAAAAGTAGTTAAATATAGGTTGTTTTACGGCCCAGAAAAGAAAGTATTCCTAGCGGATAATAATCTTCGCTTTGAAAAGAATTTATATAAAAGAAATTAAAATTTTTTGTGAAGGTAAATGTTGTCCAATGGTGAATAATGTAAAAATAATGTGTGATGTAATATTTATAAAACCAAATTCGTAACTTTTTTACTCCTCAAAAGGGCTTTTACATTCGAATTCATTGCTATTATTTTTGGCATAATTAATTAATTATTTTATTTATAATTTACAAGTAAATTATCAATAATAAATATTATTGTCAATTTGACAGTGTCAAAGTATTTAATTAAATTCTTTAGCAGAAGTACCATTTTTAAATACTAAAAATACCAAGTTAAACTGGCATAAGCCACCAACCTAACAAAAAAACACGAGTCCAGATAAAAAAAATGAACTGTACTGCCGTACTTAGGGAAAAGGCAGTAAAGTGCAAAAAGCTCAATTGGAGAAAAATAAAATTTAAATTTCAGATAATTTATAACTAAATTAATAATATTATTCTTCTAACAAAAAAACACGAGTCCAGATAAAAAAAATGAACTGTTACAGTAGGTATATTGTATTATTTTTAGAAAATTAGACAAATTAGCGTTAAACTAACAGATACATAACCTTACTCTTTTGAGTGCATTTCTTAATAATTATTTAAATATCATAGTCAAATTTTTTTATGTGAAGCGGTTATTAATCTTTGTGTAAAGCAATATTGCATATGCATTTAAATGAGTATTTTTACAATCCAAGTAATATTTGTTCCATCCAGTTGTTTATTTATATTATAAACCTTAAAAAACGTTATTAGCTAAAAAAAGCAATTTAAAATTCCAGGCATTCAGTGTTGCTGTATTTATAGCTAGTCATTGACTACAACGTTTTGTGCATACTAGAAAGCCTTAGAAATTAATGTTTAAAGTCATGGGTTTGATAACATTTAACAATTTTAATAAATTTTAGGATAGGGCAACTAAAAACTTTTCTGGAGGATGGAGAATGAGAGTATCCCTGGCTAGAGCTCTTTACATTGAACCAACTTTGTTATTGCTTGATGAACCTACCAATCATTTAGATTTAAACGCTGTTATTTGGCTTGATAAGTAAGTTTTAATCTATTTTAATTGTATACAACTTTGTCTTACAACCTCATTTTTTAGTTACCTACAAGGCTGGAAAAAAACTTTGCTTATAGTTTCTCACGATCAATCTTTCTTAGACAACGTGTGCAACGAAATCATCCACTTGGATCAGCAAAAACTTTACTATTACAAAGGAAACTACTCTATGTTTAAAAAAATGTACCAACAAAAACGTAAAGAAATGATCAAGGAATACGAGAAGCAAGAGAAACGTATCAAGGAATTAAAATCTCACGGATCATCGAAGAAGGCGGCCGAAAAGAAGACGAAGGAAGCTTTGACTAGGAAACAAGAGAAAAATAGGAGCAAAATACAGAAACAAGATGATGAAGTGTCCGCCACCGAACTGCTGCAGAAACCCAAGGAGTACTCGGTCAAGTTCAGGTTCCCTGAGCCACCTCCTCTACAACCACCAATTTTGGGAGTACACAGTAAGTAGTACAAAACTAGTGAAATTATTATTTTATAGTAAAAGGGGTTACACCTAATGTTCCTTAAAATGTTTTTTTTTATATAAAGAACACTGCTCTGGAATATTTATTTAAAGCAATAAAATATAAAAAACAGAAAGCATGGCAAATTCTAAAAAAAGTGGAAAAAATGGTAATCAGAGTATAAATATTTAGATATGGATCATTATACTATTAAGGCTCTCTGTCATTTGTGAGTTGTCCCTAACATTCCTTATTAAAAAAATAATAAATTGAGACAGCTAATATAGAACTGGGTTAGTAAATAGGAAACTTAAAATAACAAAAATTAATTGAACATTTTTCAATTAAATATAAAAATATTTTTTTGCCCAGCACATATAAAAATGAATCATATCAAACCTAAAAATATGACCGAAAATAATATATATCGTCCCTAGGGCCGCTAAACTTGATTTTTGTAGTTTTTCACTATCTAGACACCTTTGACTGACATTTATGTATTTTGGCATTTGACATTTTGACATTTAAGATTTTCAGACGTTTGTGTAAATCAAAATAAAAACGGACAACAAAAGCATAAAATAACAATAAAACATAATTTAAATTTTGTAATAAATTGAAAATGAATGGTAACTCGGACAGTTACGAAAAATTTACGAATACTTGACCAGATTTGAAAAAGAGGAAGCTAGCAATGTTAAGACAATGCGTTGAAACGGTACGAAAAGTGCTATGAATTATTTAAAAACTGGAAAAAGGATCAAAAAGCCAAAAACTTAACAGAAAATGTATTAGTTGCTTATCTATCGGAAAGATCAAAGATAATTCTAATGAAACGTCAACTTCATCTGTAGAAATAAGCCTTCAAATTCTGGTACTATCCACAATTGTGCTCAAGGCATAATTAACATTAATTGCAACAATAAATAAATTCGTAAATTGTTACTGAACTTTCTTATAAAATTCCGTTTATATTAATAAAATTTAAAAAAATAATTTGTTTGATGCTAGGCGAAAAACAGGTGTGTGTCACACATTCAGAAAACGCATTAGCAGCCCTTAGCTATCAACTGCCCTCGCTTCGCTTCGCTCGCTCGCGCATTTAATAGCCGCGGGCTGCTAAAGCTAGTTTTCTGCCCTTGAGACACAATATACTATTTAATGTCTTAATTAATACTCTATAACATGCACCCATCATATTGCAATAGTGAAAACTTGGATATATTTAATAGTTTTTGTATGAAACAGAATTCTAAAACTAAAATGAAATAACAAATAAGTAGCTCCTCAGTACTAATAAAGAATGTGATAAAATGTCTGAATAATTTTTTAAGTGTGACCAAACCTTATATTTAATGTCTACTTCGTCACAAACCGCACAAATAAAAACAGCTTTGTTATAAAATACACTGGAGTTTGACATTACATACAGGGTGTCCCAGAACTCGCGCCACAGAGAAAAAGGGGGCGTGCCGATAGCAATGGAGATGCCAAATTTAAAAATAAAAAATTTCTAGGTAATAGTGTAATCGAATGAGAGCAAAAAAGCGGCAGCCAATACCGAGAGATCTCGCCTAGGTTAAACGTAGGAGACGATAGAACATTGTTGTATTAAAAACATTTAAAAATCTTTTGGCCAACTGTATTTACTAAGTTGTCAAAAGCTTTCAAAAAATGAGGTTATTAATCTATGACTGATACTTCAGAATGCCAATGTTTTAAAGTAAAAAATTAAACCAGTTGTACTTTATTTAGCCTTATAGTTATCATTTTGGTATAATCATCAAGGAAAACATTATTTATAATAACTTAATTTATTACCTAATATAATATTAATGACAAAAGTAAAGATTGACAGCATTGTCAATAATAACTTAATTTATAACCTAATATAATATTAATGACAGGAGTAAAGATTGACAGCAACAATGAATTAAATTCCAGTGGACCAAATATTTTACATATTTTTTTATTATAAACAATGCAACCTATAAGTATCCTAGCAATTTAAAGAATTCCCCATGGCCATCTATTGAGATTGGCTATCGTTTTTTATTCTTATCTTGCTTATCCTTTGCGTTAGACAATTTTAATTTTCAAATATGTGTTTCGTGTTACTTTCGGCGCGTTCCCTTTTTCTCTGTGGCGCGAGTTCTGGGACACCCTGTATAAAAAAACTCTGTAACACATGTAGTGTATAACTGTTGTACGAGATGGCACCGCTGCAGGCAATGGTATCGCTCTTATTATTTTGCGCGTAACAAACAAGCAGCGTGTATTTTTTAAGTTTTTTTTTCGTCACGGCACTTATTCGGTATTTGCATTTATTGTGTCACTTGGAAAATAGATTTAATTATTGTGTAAAATGTCTCCTTCGTCACATGTCTCTTTTGTCATACTGCACAGCTATCGCTACGACATTAAAACTTAAAAATAAGAGACTCTTTAAGCGAAACTTTACTGCTAGCAGTAATGTAAGTCTCAACTGAGACTTACATTAGAATTACCTTTAGTTTGCCTAATTAATAGCCACAATGGATATGAAAATGTGAAATATTTTTTAGAGGTAGATGGGGCTAAAAAGTATAATGACCCATATATAAAAAACATTTTAAAATTTTTTTACATTGATAATTTTTATGAGGTTTAAAATATCTATTTTACCAAATTTTGCATCACTGACAAAAAAGGGTTTAAGATAAAAAATATATGAGGACCTTAGAAGCAGTGACATTAAAAAAAAATGTAGTTATCTACAAAAAAATATAGTAAATGGTACAGTTTACTTGGTATCCAAGGGATATAACTGAATTCTAAGCTTAGACACTTTGAAAAACAAAGTCATAAAACAACAAACAATTTTGACTCCAAATTACAAGTGTTTTTTTTTATTTGAAACATGATTATCTCAAAACTAAACAAAATGTACTTAATGTACACCCCATGGCTTCTAGGGTGCTCATATACAAGGTGGCCCTAAACTTATTGGCATAAATTTAGGAAATGCAAGTTAAAATCTAAAGACGAAAACCTAAATAAATATTTTTCCTAATTACTTATGTTGTTACCTATCATATCAGTTTTTTAATATAATTTCTACTATGCTAGTTTTGTAAACGTGATATTTTGCGAAGTCACTTACTACCAAAACATATTCACACATAATTACAATTGTTTGAGTGAACACAGTGTCGTAGATACGGGGGTTGCTTTAAGCTTATTGTCCCATACAAACTTTGAGGTTAGGTTTTTATAACATTTGATACAATTTTTTGATTACACAGTTCGGCTACCATTAAAAAGGTGTACGTCTCAAACTTCGATAAAATAAACCGTTTTCGAGATTACAATAATTGTTATCGCATTATTTAATCCTTAAAAGGTAAACAAACAAACAAATTTTATTTTTTAATTGAAAAAGAGCATTCCATGAGCCTCGAGACTTTTTGCCCTCACATTAAAAAAAATGTAGTTTTTTCAGTTAAAAAATTTGTTATCATATACCTTATAGTCCTTTAATGCGATATAACAATTGTTGTAATCTCGAATATCTCGGAAACGGTTTATTTTATCAAAGTTTGAGAGGGACAGCTTTTTATTTTTTAATTTATTATTTATTTATTAATACTAGCCGAACTGAATCTAAAAATTGCAACAAATGGTATAAAAACCTAACCTCAAAGTTTGTATGGGACAATAAGCTTAAGCAACCCGTGTTTCTACGACACTGCGTTCACTTGAACAATTGTAATTATGTGTGAATATGTTTTGGTAGTAAGTCTACCATAGTGGAAGATATATTAAAAAAACTTATATGATAAGTAACACTTTATCACCCTGTATCTTAGGGTGGAGTGAATTTTCTTTTATTTATTAATTGATTTTTCCTATATTATTAATTGTTGACTAAAGGCGTAAAATGAATAAATATCGAAAAAATATTCCAATTTTTTAATATCTTGAGGTGGCGCATCTGTCTCGAAGTTTTGAAAATTCTAAAAAAATATTACTTCAATCAAAGTAATAAAAATAGCATTATTTATAAATAAAAAGTTTATTTTAGTAAAATTAACGTAATACGTAAACATATTTAATAGTAAATCATAAGCTTTAAGTAACTTCAGGAGTGTTTATTGGTAGAAATCAGATCTTCTTTTTCGCGAAAATACTGACATTTGGTATCAAAATTTGGTAATTATTTTCTGACTTTAATTATTGTTCTGATGAAACCATATCTTGCTTCCGATCCACAAACCGAGACTGAAGATTCAGTATACTGGTTATAACCAGTTTTACACAGCGTTCCACTGCTTGGGTGTGACACGAAAATTTTTGGAAGTATAGGAAATGGTCACCCGAAGAAATCATATCGGTAATTTCTGTCATCGTATTTCATAGTCATAGGTGGTTCATTCACCTTTTCTGTCGCCCAGTGAATTAACTCGTACAAATGTAATGCTTCAGTATTTAGTTGTGGAAGCTTTAATTCCCGTAATCTCGAACATTTTGATTCTTTTCTCGCCTTTAATATTTTAGGCAATGCTAGTTCTCTGATCGATATATATATTGTAGGTAACATAGCAAGTAATAGGTTTTCGGGATAAATATTTCGCTGAATATTCTTTATAACTATAGTTATAAGGCCTTCAAGTTTTTCTGGAGGTGTAATGCTCTTTTAGTCATATTAAATATGTGAATAGGACCATGTTTGCACGTAGGCTTGGTGTTGATGTAAAACCACGTTGGGGCATACACTTTCATGATAAAAGTAGGTTTTCCGATGGATTTGCTGTCCTCACATATAAACGAATAATCCTATTAGCACACGCCAGCCATAGGGAATGTGCTAGCTTTCCTGGATCTTTGTTAGCTATAGCTAATATTTATCCCGAAAACCTATTACTTGCTATGTTACCTACAATATATCTATTGATCAGAGAACTATAGTTGCTATAGCATTGCCGAAAATATTAAAGGCGAGAAAAGAATCAAAATGTTCGAGATTACGGGAATTAAAGCTTCCACAACTAAATACTGAAGCATTACATTTGTACGAGTTAATTCACTGGGCGACAGAAAAGGTGACTGAACCACCTATGACTATGAAATACGATGACAGAAATTACCGATATGATTTCTTCGGGTGACCATTTCCTATGCTTCCAAAAATTTCCGTTTCACACCCAAGCAGTGGAACGCTGTGTAAAACTGGTTATAACCAGTATACTGAATCTTTAGTCTCGGTTTGTGGATCGGAAGTAAGAGATGGTTTCATCAGAACAAGAATTAAAGTCAGAAAATAATTACCAAATTTTGATACGAAATGTCAGTATTTTCGCGAAAAAGAAGATCCCATTTCTATCAATAAACACTCCTGAAGTTACTTAAAGCATGTGATTTACTATTAAATATGTTTACGTTTCACGTTAATTTTACTAAAATAAACTTTTTATTTATAAATAATGCTATTTTTATTACTTTGATTGAAGTAATATTTTTTTAGAATTTTCAAAACTTCGAGACTGATGCGCCACCTCAAGATATTAAAAAATTGGAATATTTTTTCGATATTTATTCATTTTACGCCATTGGTCAACAATTAATAATATAGGAAAAATCAATTAATAAATTTAATAAAATTCACTCCACCCTACTGTATCTTTTAAACATACCTAATTAGGAAAAATATTTATTTAGGTTTTCGTCTTATTTTGACTTGCTTAATCTGCTCCTAAATTTATGCCACTAAGTTTAGGGACACCTTGTATATACATACACATTATATAATAAGAAAGGTGTTTTATTTTGGAAGTTGATCCATAAATTTTCTGTTTTATGTAATAACAAAAAATATGTATTTTGTGTAGCTTTATATTTATATATAAATATATTTCATTTACAAATTTTGATACAAAACATTTTTTATGGTTATCTATTATTCTAGAAACAAAACAAATCTTTTCGAAAATATTTCATAATTTTTTATAAAATGATTTTATTTATTAAAATCTAAAAAAATAAACAAAACTTTTTAGTTTTTAAAACCATGGACAGTTTTCACAACATTTTTTCATACGACTTTATAAAGAGTATAAGGTAGTCACTAAGATAACTTTTTAGATTTCATTTTATTGGTAATAATTAATATTATTGTCAGGACTTAAACTGTAAATAACATTATTGATGAAATCATACTTGATATACAGAATTTTGAATATTTTTTTAAAGGTGTCTCAGTGTATACCAACTACATATTAAAATAATAAAAATTACAAAAATTAATATATTAATTATTACTTATTTACAGATGTTAATTTTGCCTTTGAAGGGCAAAAGCCTTTATTCAAAAACACCGATTTCGGTATTGATATGAACAGCAGAGTGGCTATTGTAGGCCCTAATGGGGTAGGAAAATCAACGTTTTTAAAACTGCTAGTGGGCGATCTAACACCCCAAACTGGCGAGAATAGGAAAAACCACAGGTTGCACATAGGGAGATTCGACCAGCATTCCGGCGAACATTTGACGGCCGAAGAAACGCCCTCTGAATATCTTATGCGATTGTTCGATTTACCGTACGAGAAGGCTAGGAAACAATTGGGGACCTTTGGTTTGGCCAGTCATGCGCACACCATTAAAATGAAGGATTTATCTGGTGGTCAGAAAGCCAGAGTGGCCTTAGCTGAGTTGTGCCTTAATGCTCCAGATGTCCTTATTCTTGTAAGTAAAAAAACATTTTGTTAAAAACATTTGTGGGGGGTTTTCTGCAAAGAAAAATATCCTTTGATGATATTTGCTTTTCAACTCATTCTTTTATTAACTTATTATTTATTTTTGCTACTTTTTGCGCTTGTTTATTAAAATTGGATAGTTGTAATTTTCTATTTTTGCGGTTTTTTCAACTTTTCAAAAATATTAATTTTAAAACTAAAATTATTTTAATTTTTAACTTAAGATTATCAAAAAAAAAAGAAGACATTTATAGTAAAAAATTAAATCTTGAATAAGCTAATGGGAAAATCCTGCAAAACTTGTGATTGTTATTTTACTTCAAATTATTTAAAATAACCTATAAATATATATACAGACCCATTTGTTTGCGACTCACCCCTGTAAAATCTTTATTTATTGTGCGATTTTAAACGGTTTTGTTTTTTTTTGAGCAAAAAACGCGATATTTTTACAATATACAAGGCACTGGATTCACCATTGGTGAATCACCACCCCTCAAAACGACCCTATACTAAATCTTATTGAAAAATTTTAAGTAGAAAAATGCATAATATCTACAAAAATTTATTCTGTCAAGTTATCCATGAAAAAACATTGAAATAAAATTGAACTAATAGTAACATGATACTATTACTATAAGTTTAATTTTATTTCATATTTTTTTTCATGGATAACTTGATAGAATAAATTCTTGTAGTTATTATTGTGCATTTTTCTACTTAAAATTTTTCAATAAAATTTAGTAAAGGGTCGTTTTGAGGGGTGGTGAATCCAGTGCCTTGCTTAGATTTTGTTTAAAAAAATCGCTAATATGAATTCTTCAAAATTTACTCTTAAAAACTGACATAGTAGGCCTTGTATTTTTTTCAAAAATGCAGTTTATCAAGATCACAAAGAATTGAGTCACACTGTATATACATATTTTTGTAAAATTTAACTTGAAACACTGAAAATAACTTTAAACAAATATTTTTTTATAATATTTGATAACAACCCCCCCAGGAACAAATCCTGCAGAAGACCCTGTACATTGGTCATTTCACGCCAAATGATTACTTTACTACTCCACCAAAAACGCTTCTGTGAATGTTTTCAAGTTTTTAAACCACCCGAAATTTGGTGCTTTTTTTAAACATTTATTTCAATAAAAAATTTATTTTGTGTTTAATTCCCCAAATCTCACATTGGGCCAACTTTTTCGATTAAAAAAAACGGAATGCTGCAGAAAGAATAATTTAAATTAATAAAAAACTAAAACATTTTATAAAAAAGGACTTTTAATATTTTTTTACTAAAAAGCAAGTTTATGAACCCTGGCTATGGCCCTAAGTAATAGAATTTGTTTAACATTTTATAATGAATCATAAAAGCTACTTAACCACTTTAAAATGTTTATTTTGTTAAAACAATGTTTTATTGAATTATAATTATTATAGTTTGGTGTGATAAAAATGTTATTTAATAAATTTCTGCATTGGTTTTTTTTTAAATGTAAATAATCAATTTTATCATTTGATAATTTATTGATTTATTTTTTATTTGTTTCACTATTTTTATACTCTTACAGCAACATTTTTGTATTTTATTAATTATCAATGATGTGAAAATTCCACTTAATATTTATTTAATTGTATATTACACTGTTTTATAGTTTATCAAAACAGTTCTTTAACCGCCAAATCATTTTAATTTTCTTAAATATCTTAAAAATAAAAATTCCAATAAATATATTTACTACTACTAAAAATAGCACGTTTACATGTAAAATTGCAGTAATACAAATTAAGGCTAAACCAAAATATTATGTACTTGTAAGCTTTATAAAAAAGTCCAAATAGCTAATGACCAGGGTGTTTTTATTTATTTGGTTAACAAATTTGGCTTTTTACAGGATGAACCTACAAATAATTTGGACATTGAATCAATTGATGCATTAGCTGAAGCCATTAACGAATACACTGGTGGTGTAATCATTGTTTCTCACGACGAACGTCTTATTAGGTAAAAATCCAAATTACTGAGTAATAAACAAAATTAATTTTGCAATATTTTCTAGGGATACTGAGTGTGCTCTTTACGTCATAGAAGATCAAACAATTAACGAATTAGATGGCGATTTTGATGATTACAGAAAAGAACTTTTGGAAAGCCTAGGTGAAGTTATTAATAGTCCAAGTATCGCTGCCAATGCTGCTATAGCTTAGACACTTTATAATTGGAATTTTATATTTATAATTAAACATCTTTGGATTTTAGAATGTTAAATTATTTAAAATGTAGTTATTATTTTAGACCTTATCCCAATTCTTACAAATTTTATTTTAGCAAATATATATACACTGCGCGTCAAAATTAACGCATAAAAAGTAAAAAAATTCTAACTCTAAAACGCCTTTACTAATCTTTATGAAATTTTGTATAAAATACTTCAACTTATATCTCAGTTTACGTGTTCGGGTGTTTTTCGAGAAAATATTTTGAAAGCCCTTTTATTTAATAATAAAAAAACGTTTGAAAAATAACTTTTAGGGAAATTTTTTTTAAAGTAAATAAAAAATTTGCTGTTAAAGTAAACCCTAAAAATTTTGTACAAATCAATAAAAATCAAAAATTAAATAAATCAAATAAAAAATTTGCTGTTAAAGTAAACCCTAAAAATTTTGTACAAATCAAACGAACAGTAACGAAGATACAGTGCTTTAAAGTCGGTAAAAATGACCAATTTTCAGCAAAATAATCAAAAAGGTGTCATTTTACCGACCTTAAGCACTGTATCTTTTTTTATTTACTTTAAGAGTAGTAAAGGAGTTTTAGAGTTAAAATTTTTTTACTTATTATGCGTTAATTTTAACGGGAGTGTGTGACAAAAAAAGGTGATATCGTTTTTTTTTTCGCTCACATGAAAATTTCATAGAAAACGTCGAAATAAAATTTCTTTACAAATCACAACCCTTAATTTCAATTTTAAGAGGTACTACTAATTTTTTCCATAGAAATAGGAAAATATTTTTTCCTGCATTTTATGTTGCCACTTTTTTATATTAAGACTGATGAACCATTAAATTTTTTAGTAAAAAAGTCAGGTTTATATTATAATTAATGAAGGACTTGGAAAATGAAAAATTGTAAAAATTACGAGTTTTTTAGATTTGTTTTATGCATAAAACATTTTGTAGATAATTATAAATAATGAAGGACTTGGAAAATAAAAATTTGTAAAAGTTACGAGTTTTTTAGATTTGTTTTATAAATAAAACATTTTGTAGATAATTTAAGGATCATTAGACGATTATATGAAAAAAGTGGCTACATAGAATGCATAACTTTTTCCATGGAGTCTTAATGCAAGAGCAAAAAAAACGATAACGCCTTTTTGGGCACACCATAATATATATATTTTAACTTACCTTTCTTTACCTAATGCTTAAAAAAGTTACTATAACATTAGTCACGAATTTTTAAAACTTAATGAATGTTCTTGGAAAAATTAATTTTTGCTATCTTTTGAAATTCATACAGGATAATAGGTATTTATCTATGCAATAATCAATTACTAGAGTAGAAAATGTTGACAATAATAAAAGTTTAAATTATAAAATGCTTGGACTAAAAATATTATTAGTCCCAATAAAAAACATATTAAAAAAATATTAGCAGGAACATTAAACTTTTGTCAAAATCAAAATGGTAATGCACCCCATAATTTAAGTAGTATTTTTTTAATTTTTTTTAATTATACTTCTTTTACTTACCTTTTAATTTTTTTAACTTTTTTTAATGGGAAGTAATAATGAACTCAACAGACTTTTTACATCTTATTAAAATAAAATTTAATTTGCACAGAACTAAGATCACGGCTAGTAATAAAGAATGGTTAGATAAAAAATGTCTTTAGACCTGTATTAATGTATTTATCACAAAATCACAACACAATTATAAACTGAATTTTAAACAAAGCTTTTTTATATTTGATTTAAACATACAAGACACTAAAAAATGAACAGTATGTACAGTAAGTAAGAATACATTATACCAGAAGCTGGATACATGTTCTTAAGAACTAACTTTGGTTGACCTCTAATAATTCTATCACAAGTCAAATACATTGATCAAAATTGTAATTTTTTAAACAATTATTTTAAATAAATTAATTTGTACAAGTGTCAGATCTACTATAAAATGATAATAGAGCTTAAATAAATTAATAAATTTAAATTAATGAACCTGATTTTTACACAAAATTTTTGCTACAATTGTAACAATATTGAGCATTTTATAACTATTGTTTACACCTAATTGGCACACACAATTCTAAGCTCTTTTACCATTTTACATAACATACTGTTAAATAATATTTGGATATGTATGCTAAATTTTGTCCAATGAGCTTAAAAGAATAACATTTTTTTTGTATGAAATGCATTGAATGAAATATGGTGTTTTCTTGTAAGGAATATGTTCCTATGGTGCTCAAAACTCTCCATTATATTACAAAATAATAAAATCAATCAAGGTAAGATAAGAACACAGAATATTTATCAAATTAATAATTTTTATTATTAACAATAAATTTATGTTTAGGTTTACATTACTTTTAATATTCCAAAATAGAACTTTTAACAAAAATTTGCAGAAAACCTAGAGATTTAAATGACACAATTCATCAATTTAAAATTGAATTACCTTTTTGTGTACAAGCGATGTTGAATAATTAACATAAGCAACTGAATGGGTATCTAATACACACTTTTTATTTAAACTTCAAAAAAAAAATATTGGTATTATATTTAGTAGCACAAGTTTCTGTATATAATGGATTTTAAAGCAATTTAATAAACCTTGTGTATCATTTTAAAATATAGTTGGTCAAAAAGTTATTTAAACACATAAATACAAACTATAACTATAAAAAATATGTTTATACAATTTTACACCTACGGAATTTCGCTACGAAAGTGGCCAAACATATTTTAAAATGCTCACAGAACTACAGAATCCTTTAGATCTGCCACATTGTGTTGGTTGTGTGTGACAAGAAAAACATTTCATTGTCACACACGTTTTTTTGCGCCTTTAACTGATTGGTTCTGCCTTTTTATCGAAATTAACTTACCAGAAGAGATCATAGAGTACAACACTAACTTAAAAATTATAATGAAAGGAGGTTGACAAGTCCCTCAATAGGAACAAGCTGTGGTCATTTTATATCACAATTCTGTATTTGCTTTAATGGTGCAGAGAGCGGGTTTGTCCACAGCTTTGTTTCAAACGCGTTTAGGCAAATTCATATATTAATTATTATTTAGGGCGTTTCATAAGGAATCCTTAATAACTGAGGAACAGATTCTTTTCAACAAGATATTAGACTGTATAAAAAATCGACTTTTTTTTAAATTTATATCCGCAATATTGTTCCAAATGACAAAAAAAATGCTGTCAAAAACATCGCGATTTTCTATTTCCCATTTATTTTACTTATATAAAAAAATGCTCGAAAAAATTTTACTTTGGAATTTTATAACTCGTTGACGCACTTTTGTATAAATAAGACCAGGACACATTTTTGATAAATCTACTTTTTAAAAATTATTTAGGGTCAAAGAAGAACATTTTTTCCCCTAAAATTATATTTTACAACATTTTTTAAAATAACCTTGACCGTTTTGTAAGTGATTATAAAATTAAAATATTTGTTTATGGTTTTAAAATTGATTTTAGAAAAATATTAAATGAAGTAAAAATTCGCGATTAATAATTTAGTTTTAATTTCAAATGTGAATAACTAAACATCCTTCAAGAGTTTCAAAAACTCTGTAAAGTAATTTGAGAAAAATAAAACATTCTACAAAATAAAATAAATATGATTGATAAAATTTTAACTGATAGATTTGCTGAAAAAGTTAAAAAATCATTAACCTAACTGTAAATTTAATTTAAACTTAAAAAAAGTAGATTTATCATAAAATGATAAGAGGCCTTCTTTTAATTCCCTAAAAAAACATGTCATGGTCTTATCAATACGAAAATCGCAATATTAATATTGAGAGCTCAAACTTTGACTTCATCATTTGGAAAAATATTTTCGATATAAATTTAAGAAAAAAAATGGAGGATTTTTTGAAAGTCTAATGACATAATAAATATGGGGCAAAATTCCCAAGTGTACCACCAAAAAAAAATGTTTTCTTTCCAAATCTTTTCCAAATTTTACTAAATTATACTATATTTATATAATTATAATTATAGTTATAGTACTAACTGGTTAATAACCAGTGGTTATCCAATTACAGGGGTGCAAAGTTTACAGTTTATCTCTGACAAACTTTAATTTTGTTTTTTAAATATAGCATTTTTAAAATTAAATTTTTATAGCTCATTCTTTCCAATGAAACAATTTTTTTTTTAAATTTCCAAAATATTGATTTTTTTAAAATTAAAATTAAGCTCATTTGAAAGCTTGATTTTTGGTTAGTCATATAAGTTTTCCAATGGGATTGAAATTATTTTTCGAGGTTTTCAACTGTTTTATTAGCTAAAGCCTGAAGTTTGTTATCTGTCATCAAGCAATACTTTCACAGGTGTCAAAATGACAGATAACACACTTCTGCGCTTTAACGCATCAATCAGTTCTTCAACCCATTATAAAACTTATACATGGGCTTAATTTTATTTTATTTGCATTTTTTTTTAAATTAACAAATACTTTAAAATTTCAAATTTGTATCCCTCTAATCTAATAACCAGAGGTAATAAAGCAAAATCCTTTACAGGATTATAGTTAATACCTTTAGTAAAATTTGAAAAAAAAATTACACTTGGGAAATTTTTACCCATATATTGTCGTGGAATATTTTGTACAATTGTATTTATTGCCTCTATATTAAAAGGATCAAGTTTTTCTTCTACCGGGTTAAAAAGTCGACTTGTTTCATGGAGCAACTAAAAATTACATTTCGGACCTTGTAAACTTATATAAATAGTTCCATTACTTCTGTATTATTTTAGAGTTCATCTGAAACACCCTGTATACCTAGAGTTAGTATAAAACGGTTTATTTTCAAAAACTATTTTTTACAGAGCCAGGATTCTATTTCTATTGATAAATAAACAAAAATGACCTTATCTATAATCAAGTGTTTTCTTACAATCATGACAATCAAAAAGTAAACACATTTTTCCAGTTGCCAAATTTTCTGCAAACCCTAAATATTAGAGCCTCGCTCAACTGGATGTTTCCCAATTGTTTGGAAAAAAAATGTAATTTAATCACCGACTTGATTCGACCTAATTAAAACGATTTACGTTGAGGTAGTTTTGTTGATTACCTTTGCCTTTCATCAAATAATTTTTTTCACCCCCACATCACTGCACCAGAAACAAAATGGTCGTTCGACGAATAATTGCATTCGTTCCCAATTTAATTTCTTTTGCGTTTCCGAGGAGAATCTCTCGACCTATATTTACATTTTGCTTTTACGTTTGTTTGCAAAAGATTTAAAGGGTTTTATGTAAGACTTTTTGTATTAGGGTTTCATCAAGTGTATTCTTTGAAATTTAGTTCTTGAAATATCACAATTTTAGAGAATCAAACGACAAATGAAAAGCGTGATATGACAGGTTTTTAAACCGCAAAAAAAACTGAAACCATTAAAAATGTCTTGCGGTAGAAGGAAAACAAAAAATCGTAATTATTCGTCGAACGTGCCGAAAACTTAAAAGTACAGGTTACAATAACAAAAATACGACGCTATTACTAACGACAGCACTCTTTGAGGGTCTCTGTGAACACATTTAAGCAGTCAGTTTGTAAAAGTAGTAGTAGTAGTGGTGGTGGTTGATTTTGTTGTTACCGTTGTTGCCGTTGTTTCACAAACTTCAACTTTGTTTGACGCGCTTCCTCGGAGGTCCGATCGGCGGTATTTGTTGCGTCGCCAGCGCCCTGAACGCTTCGGCTATCAGGTGCGGGTGTGTCTGGATCATCGACTTCCAGCCCGGCGTGTCCATCACGTCCGTTGCGTGCCTGCAAAGTTCAGTAAAGTTAGACCGATTCAGTATTATTGCGATTCATTGGGTGGGAAAAAACTTTTTTGCGATCTTTAGGGTACCATATTGGAAGCTTAAAGCAGTTTCATATAGATGCGAAATGCGAAATACGAATATTCGCATTTCGCAATCCCTATTTCATATAGATGCAAACTATTTTAGGGACATTTATTTCTCACTAGGTGATATTTGCCATGGTATTTTAGGGACTTAATTTTCTCCCAGGCGATATTTGCCATACTTGGTTAACATTTTCGATTTGTTCACAGTGTCCCTGAACGAAGTTTAGGTCACATAAAAATGACGCCAAAAACTGATTGCAGTTTATTGTTTGGGACCCTTTGGTGACTTAAAAATGATATTTACCAAAATCCTAGCTGATCCTCTTTTCGAAATTTTTTGAAAATTCATGATTTTTTTTTTTAAATTTTTGTCCACACATTTGTACACCGACTTTAATAATATTGGAGTATATTGTTAAGGAGATTTGGAGAATACTGTTTATACTGTGCACATCATTTAATAATACAGGGTTAGCCAAAAATTGCTTTTTTTAATAAAGCAAAAGCGTAAATTCATGATTTTGGCATAACACGCAAAAAAGATATATACCCACCCATGTTTTTTTAGATATTTTTGTGTTTATCAGGCTACAAAATGGGATTCTTATCAAGACTTATCAAATTGATTTTGAATAAAATTAAATAAAATAAATTTTTTTGGAGATAAATCTGTTTTGTGCATTATGCTTTTTACTATATAAAAACGTGATTTTTGGCTACATCTAATGATGTGCTCAGTATGAAAACAGTATTCCCAAGTCTCGTTAACAATATACTCCAATATTATAAAAATTGGTGTACAAATGTGTACTCTGTCAAAGGTAAGATAAACAAAAATTAAAAAAAAATTAGGAATTTTCAAAAAAATTCGATTTTGTTAAATATCATTTTAAAGTTACCAAAGGGTCCCGAACAAGAAACTGCAATCAATAAAAATCGGTGTACAAATCTGTACTCTGGCAAAGGTAGACTTTGCGATAAACAAATAATTTAAAAAAAAATGATTTTTTAACAAATTTAAAGAAAAGCAGTTAGAATTTTGGTAAATACCGTTTTTAAATCTCCAAAGAGTGCTGATCAAAAAACTTTAACCAGTTTTTTGTTCAAAATTGAAAACTTCTAAAAAGCCTAAATTAAACAACATTTTAAATATTCTCTAAGCGTTATTTTATTTAATTTTATTAAAAATCTATTTTTTTAATAAAAGGTTAATAAGAATGCCATTTTGTAACCTAATAAACATAGAAATATCTAAAAAAAAATGGGGATACATCTGTTTTGCTTGTTATGCCAAAATCATGAATTTACGCTTTTGCTTTATTAAAATTAAGCGATTTTTGGTCCACCCTGTATATATCAAATGATGTGAACATTATTAAAAAGTATTCTTTAAGTCTCCTCAATAATATACTCTAATTTTATAAAAATCGGTGTACAAATGTGTACTCTGTGAAAGGTAGACTTTGAAATAAACAAAAATTTAAAAAAAAAATCATAAATTTTGAAAAAATTTCGAAAAAAGGATCAGCTAGGATTTTGGTAAATATCATTTTTAATTCACCAAAGGGTCCCGAACAAGAAACTGCAATCAGTTTTTGGCGTCATTTTTATGTGACTTAAACTTCGTTCAGGGACAATGTGTGTTGTTTCATGTAAATTGAGATTTTGTGTTTTTATTATGGATGAACAATTGAGGAGCATCCGTGCAAAACCGGCTAAATCCATTTTATTCAGTTTTTGTTTTTTTTTTTGATTTCGCATCTTTGGGTTCATTTCTATCGACAACCAAGATAATTTTGTTTAAATACGACTATATCCATGTTAATAATAATAATAATAATATTTTTCACATCACATTTAAAAGGTAGCTTTAGGAGCAAAACCGGCCAAATCCACGTTTTTATAGCAAACCCGGCTATATCCAATAAATAATAAGGATGATGAGCATGTGGCTTGGATATGTCGATACTACTACTAAAATTTGTTCTGTTTTTTCATATTTGCACTAAATTTATTTTGTTAATATTTTTGAATAATAAAGGATTTTTTTCACATTTTATTCGGTTTTTGAGCAAAACCGGCTATATACAAAACATTTTTTGAAATTTTGGCCTTAATATAAAGTTTTTGAAAACGAAAGCTGCTTACTGTATGTCTTATAAATCAAGTACCACAAAACTCAAGTTTGCTTTTTCTTTTATCTGTAAAGGCCAGGAAACCGAGAGTTTTTGCCATTTTCCCAACATTTTATTAAAGTGGATATAGCCGGTTTTGCACGGATGCTCCTCAATTATACCAGTGGCAATTATACCATTGGCGACGAAGGCGTGCAATTGCGCTTATTTATTGTTGAAACGAAGACAGAATTAATTAATACGCATGCGCATCACGACAAATTCGTGCGATTTTCGCAAAATATTGAATCAATCTCAAGAGTCCCGCCCCCCAGATTTCAAATCTTGCGAATTCGCAGGATCTGTCGAAACGTCAAAACGCTTTTCCCGCCAAATCAAATGGACCAATGAAAACGTTTTTCGTATTTCGCATTTCGCATCCAAAGGGTTTTCCATTTAAAGCGTCATAACTTTAACCCTAAAAATAAGGCTGCTCTGGAATGTAAATGTCAAATCTTGACAACACATGTGTTCAGTAGGGGAGGGTAGTCCACAGTGAGACAAAAATTAAATTTTCTTATCAAACGCCTTTATAAAAAATAATTTTGCTACAAAACCTATTACATAAGTAAAAGTGGTATATCTGCAATGAAAATAACTAAAAAAGAACTAAAAAAAAGCTTTTTCTAAGGGATGCAGATTTTTTTTTAAAACCCTTGCAAACGTCTCACTGTGTACTACCAGTGGTCCACTATGAGACAACGGGTAGTACACAGTGAGACGAGAACTATTTTCACATTTTCACACAAAAATAAAAATCAACGGAGACATAATCCATGAAAACTGATACCGAACTTGACCAAATTGCTTTGGCGTTTGGTCAAGCCCGTCTTAGGTTCGGGCAGAATCATTGTAACATCGGTTATGTTAATCACCGAGGTGTCCGGAACGTTTGGGAAAACGAAAGTATCGATACTCTTGACGCTTCTTCTCAGAAATGTGACTTCATATTGGTCTTTTGCATTGTCAGTAACCGAGAGCACTTTACTGACGTAATGGACACCTCCAGGAAATTTAACGACGATGAAAACACCTTCTTTTATGTCCGCTGTGTTAACTTCCCTAGTAAAGTTAAATTCCTCTTCATCATCAGTAACGAATTCCATATCTGAAGACTCCTCCCTGTACACAACTTCCTCTTCATCTTCAGTGCTACTCGAATCGTCTTTCATTTTTTTTGTCATCATTTTCTTCTTTTTAGGACAATTTGTTACATCTCTCAATTGTCGAAGATTCCTTTTGGTCTTCCGACTTATGGATTTTGAACGCTCTCGCTCTTCCAATTGTTCTTTCTCAGGTGTGTCCGTGAGGATAGTACTCTTTCCTTTCTTTCGCTGAGTCTTTCGCTGTTGTTTTCGAGGTTGGGCTTTCGGATACCCTCGAAAGATTTGAGGCGAGATGAATTCTTTTTTTGACAAGGAGTCTCTGGAACAGCGCGCTTCTTCTTGTTGGCCTGGTTTTCGGTTTTCTTCAAAAGAATTTCTTTGGTCTGATTCAACATTCAATTCATCCTGGGACACGATCACGTCATTTACTTTAACATTAGCGCCCGTAGTAACTTCACCGCTTATTTCAGCTTCGACATTTTCGTGAAATTCGATGGTATCGTCAACAGGCTGAGGTTCAGGTACATCTCGATCGGTAACTGCACTTGCTAAAAAATCAGCATCCTTAAAAACATCGGGGTTGAATGGAACGATGCCAGTTTTTCGAAAACCAGAGATGATATTAATAGGCGTTAAAGCTTTGGCGAAAGCTCGACCGACGCATTCTGCTACAAAGTAGATGTTCAAAGTTAGTCCAGGATGATTGAGCATCCATTTGTCACATTCCGCATTATAATACGCCTTGAAGGGGCCAAAGACGGCTACGTCTAAGGGTTGCATTCTATTGCTGCAGTGTGGTGGCAAAGTTAAAATGTAAACTCCAGCCGCTCGAGCTTTATTGACTATTTCAACGGAAATATGACTTTCGTGATTGTCATAGATAAGCAACGTCGGATTTTCTTTCGTGGAATTTGTATGCTTAATAAAATGATCCAGCACTGCAGGAAAAAGATCAGAATTCATCCAGCCACTGCTTGACGCCAGTCCTAGAGTACCAGCAGGCGCGCCTTTAACCATATGCTCTTTGAAGTATTTGCGTGGGAAAATCATCACAGGAGGAATGAATGTTCCAGTGGCAGAAATGATTGCGCAAGTTGTCACCAGCTCACCTCGTTCAGCACTTGTGCATTGGTTCACTTGTTTCGCCCCTTTAGGCGCAATGACTTTTTTTGGGTTTTGGACTGTTGTGGTTCCGGTTTCATCGAGGTTGTATGTTCTTGAACCATCTGCCAGGATTGGATGCTTTTCCAAAAGATTCCTCAAGTTTCCAAAAAAAAGATTGACATTATGACGGTTGAATGAAGTAAGTCGGGATAGACTGCATGCTTCTGGCTTTCTAATGCTCAATGTTTTTCGCCTTTTAATGAAGGCTCGCATCCATTCTTTTCCTGCCATTTTGGATTCCTTCCATGAATCTGGGACAGGGATGGAGTTCCTTTCAGCAAGTTCATAAGCGAGTTTTCTTGTTCCGATTGTTGTCATTCCGTACGCCATCTTACTACAGATCTCCAAATATGTTCCCAACATCTCTTCCTGTTCATCAGTGAAAATTCTTCTATTTGCATAGTTGGGCTCCATCCTAATTGACTCTGCTTCTACAGGATCGTTTTTCTTTTTAGTAACGTACCGTTGTAGGGTTTGAAACTTTATGTTTTGTTGCTCAGCAGCTTGTCTCAGTGACCATCCATCTTCTATGACCAAATTTACCGCATTCGACATCGCTTCAGATGTAAAGTTGGCAATTTTTCGTGGCTTATTTTTGCGGACCATCTAAATAAAAAAAAAACTAGTTGGATACCTTACTTCACAACATAAGGTACACACTGAGACAGTCTCACTGTGTACCACCCAGCGGTGTCTCAATGTGTACTTTTGGTCGTTAATTTAATAAAATTCGGACATTTTTGTTAGGTCCAACATATTAAAAGAACAAACACATCATTTCAACTACTAAACTCTACTTCATATTATAACACGATCGGCTTTATAATTAAATACAAAATATAGAGTTAAATCATTAGTATATCAAGTCAAAAACACAGATTCTTACTATGAAAAATAAGTTATACAACCCACTGCGTCGATGGTCTGACTGAAACTAACAAGACTCCGTCAGCTGTTGGTAAACTACTAAATGTACCGCAGAACGGCGCCACCATGATTTTAAGCGGCTAGTTTAAAAAAAAAACCGTTTGTCTCACTGTGTCAGCTGTCTCACTGTGGACTACCCTACAATTTAACAGCGCTTAGAAATAATTCATATTTACCATCAAAATGCATGTTCGGTTTGCCAAACATTTTGCAAGTTGCGAGAAATATAAGGTTTATCGTTTAAGAAAAAACTGCTTTACTGGCAAATAAGTCAACTTTTGTGCATCTAAAGGATCATGTGAAATCTCAGGTTTACAAAAATAAGCCACGAACAATTCTCGACCTTAAACGAAACATTAAACGCACTATTCAAAGTATACCACGCGATATTTGTAAAAGAATAGTAGAAATTAGGCCTTCATAATGCATTCAGTCAGGCAAAGTCGAGGGGGACATTTAAACGATATTATATTTAAAACATAATGTCATCGATCGTTCTTCAAAATAAAATATAGATTACGGGATTATAACATGTAGTTATTTTTTTATCTCATTTAAAAGTTCTGACGCTCTAAATGAAAAACCCTTTATATGAAACCGCTTTTAGATCCTTGCAGATTTTCCGCCACCTTGTATTAAGGGGTGAATCGAATATTTTTTTTTACTTCCGACACTAAAAAGTTGGTTCTTAGGCACCTCAAGAAAGTGCTCACCAAATTTGAGCTCTTAATATTAATAGGAAGATTCTCCTCATCACAGTTTTCCATTTTTTCTTTAGTCCATTATAAAAAGGACCATTTTTCATTATTAATCAATCGTTTAATTTATAAATATTTTTGTAGGAACATGAATGCTCTACAAAAAAGGACTCATGTGTTTAAGCGATTACTCTAACCATTTAAAAGATATTCAAGATCAAAGTTAGAAGAATTTATTAAAAAACATTTTTTTTTAAATAATTTGGTACTCATTGAGAAATAAGTATTGCCAAATGAGTATGACATATTTTTGTAGGAAATTAAACGCTCTACAAAAAAGGTATGATGTATTTAATTTATTCCTCTAACCATTGAGAAGGTATTCGAATCCGAATCCCAATGCGTACTGAACGAATATCTTCTCAACGGTTAGAGTAATCAATTAAACACGTCAGACTTTTTTTTAAATTTCCTACAAAAATATGTCATACATCTAACAATAATTATTTTTCAAATTATTTAGAAAAAATGTTTTTTAATAAATTCTTCAAACTTTGATATTGAATATATTTTAAATGGCAAGAGTAAGAGTTTTTGTAGAGCATTCAATTCCTACAAAAACATGTATAAAAAGATTTGATTAAGCGATTGATTAATAATGAAATATGGTCTTTTATTTAAGGGACTAAAGAAAAAAAATGATGAGTGATGAGGAGGATCTTCCTATTAATATTAAGAGCTCAAATTTTGTGAGCACTATCTAGAGGTGCCAAAGAACTAATTTTTTAGTGTCAGAAATTAAAAAAAATATTCGATTTTTTTGAATCACCCTAGTGTTTATGTTTGTGGCACTTATTTTTCTTGTAAAAAATGGTATCGGCTGTTTTTTCGATAAAATAAAAAATAGAGCCGTTTTTTTATTTTATCGAAAAAACAGCCATTTTTTAAAGATAATTAAGTTCTACAAACTTGTACACAAGTAATAACCGAATACACTTGTCGAAAAAATAAACATATTTGTTTGCCACAAAATTTGGGTGCGCTGATTCCAAAAATTATTTTGCCTAATTATTATGTCCATAATAACGAAACAAAAACCGTCAATACCCAGTGTGTAATCCGGTATAAATTACCTAACCCTGATGACTTTGTTCAATAAGGGAACAGACCAAAAAATGCGACATAAAATTATAGAAAAACTTAAAATAGTACAGAAATGGAGAAACGCAAACAATCTAACAATACAAAATTGGAGAAACGCAAACAATCTAACAATACAAAATTACCTACTATGCATAGAAAAATTAACAAAAGGACATAATCAGCCCTATTATAACATGATTCGTTAACGATATCCACTAGAATCAGTGTTATATTTAATCTGATTGGCAGATAACTTAGCATCCAAAAACCAAATTGTACAGAAGAGGCGATTGAAGTTCGCAGCATAGCATAGCACAGCCTAGGCTTTTGGGTAGTAACGCTAGATTTCAATCGGGAAAAAAAATCTAAAATTGCGATGATAGACCTCGTAATATTAATATTATGGACTCAAACTTTCTCCATAATTTTTTTTGTCACCCCGAACAATATTTTCGATTTACTTTACAAAAAAAATAATCGATTTTTTTGGTCCTATATAGGACTATATAGCAATATAATTATAAAATAGGGTGATAAAATAAGAATACAAGACAAAATATTTTATGGTAATTGCTAAAAAATTTCAGAAATCAATTGGACAATTTTTTTTGTAAATTACAAAAAAAAGAACTTTATTCAAAATTAGGTATACGATAATTATAAAAATATATGAAATTTGATAGAAATTCATTGTAAATCATAGATTTTGAAGTTTTTGTGATAAAACATAACTTTTTAGCACAATTCAATGAAATTGTTTACTTACGTGTTAATAAAATCTATGGCTTGAGCTTTCAGCTGATCCGCGCTATGTAGATCCGCTAAAATGAGGATTTCGGCCGCATTGTCTATCGATAGGTTCGTACACAGAGCCTCTTCGCACATGACTTTCAGCCTCTCCAACGCATACTAAATTTAGAAGGAAAAACAAAGAAAATAAAATAACGTTCCCTCAAATCCTCAATTTTCTAATACGCACTTTATCTGCTGCTGCCAGGAGGTCATCGGCCATTTTTTCCAAATTCGAAGCCTTCCCTGTGTAGATGAACCTCAGCATCTCTCTCAACACCTCGTGATCGACGTCCGTAATGTCTACTCTATTGTGTTTCCGTTCTTCCATTTCGTGTTCGAACATTGCTTGAAAGACAGGACTGCGGGCTAAAAAAAATAAAATCATATGTAAGCTATCTGGTAGTTACATTTTTTGAACACATACTTTTTATGATTTTAATTTATGTTTTTTCTGCAATGCGCAAGAAAAGTTACCTAACTCAAAAACTTCATTTACCAGTATTAAACTGGCCCAAGACATATTATATTATTCACAGACTTCGTTCTTTTTCATCCGTTTTTATCGCCACGGAACGTCGTGTCAAAAACGCTAAAAACCGTCGTGTTGCATAGTCGGTCCATAAGTTTCGTGTCAAACTCACGCTTGTGGGGTTTTTAAGCAGTGGCGCAGTCGCAAAAGTCACTGTGTAAGCAATTTTTAATGACTTTTCCTTGTTTTTAGCGAGTAAAGTCTGTAGAATACCGAGACCGGTATGAAAACATAAATAAAAATTGGTCTTCGTGCTTTTTATGTTCGTTTTTTAAAAACCGCAATACGTCGCCACCACTGCTAAGGGGACATCCATTAATTACGTGAGATAAAAATAGGGGGGGAGGGGTCTAGCAAAATCTCACCAAATCTCATGTTAAGGGTGGGAGGGTCATTTAAAATCTCACGTCAACTTTTGGGTTCAAAGAATATAAGTATTATAATTAAAATTTGTCAAAAAAAAGTAATATATTTTTTTTTGTGTTTATCATGTTGTCCGCAATGAAAGATAATGGATAGAATCTCACGTGAGTGATAGGGGGGGTCTACCACATCTCACCAAATCTCACCAAGGGGGAGGGAGGGGTCTAAATTATCAGAAAAATGCCTCACGTAATTAATGGATGTCCCCTAACCAATGCTTTCACTCCACGAAAGCTCGAAAAAAAAATTAACTGCCAGTATTTCCCGTAGTGTGGGGGATTGACGTTTTGCCTTTCAAAAACCCAATATGTCAATTCCACACACTACAGGACGTTCCGAATCGTAGCGATACAAACGGATAAAAAAAGGACGCTGTAGGGGCCTTCACACAAGGAAATAGGTCCTTGGTTGTAACTATGGTAAATATAAAATTCTATAAATAAGATATCATGCATTTATTCAATAAAATTCATAGATTAAAAGGTATAGAGCATTTAATAAATTTAACTGTAAAATTTCGATATACTTCATCAATATTGACAGTTGTAGTATATTATGTATCAAGTTTTATATACGCCATTTTAGTTACGAGCTTTATTAGGCACGAGCAAAGCTTGCGAGCGAGTGTTTAATAAAAACGAGTGTCTGGAGAAGTTTATAAAACGAGTTGCATACTATACTTTATCTACGACGAACACAAAGAAGAATTTAAAGCCATCTGTCAACTCTTAACGGATTTAACCTCGCTTTTTCCCAATTTATAATAAAGCTAACTTCAGCCTGTGACTAAAATGCCCAAAAGTCACAGCTTATCAATGGGGGAGTAGATAATAGTATATTATGTATCGAGTTTGATAAACGCCATTTTATACACGAATTTACTTTAGGAACGACCGAGCTTGCGAGCGAGTGCTTAAGTTAATGAGTGTATAGAAAAGTTTATAAACGAGGTGCATACTATAGTTTTTCTACGACAAATACTTATTATTATCTTAAAATGATTTAAATAAAAAATTTGTATAGAGCGCCATCTATGAAACAACAGGGGAAACTGTCAAATGTCACATTTTTACATTTTATAAACACAATTATAAAGGATATAAATTGAAATGTATCTTGAAAATTGACAGTTTTTCACAGTGAAAGTAAAGGAACTGTTTTATGAGGACTTTACAGTAGAGTCCGTGCCCGAATTTAAGTTATAGTTTACTGCCGGCGAAATTAAAAGGTCAGTACAATGTTCATATAAACTTTTGAAATATTGGCGTTGAGAAACTATTTAATATTTTTTTATTTTTGTATTGAGATAATAAAATAATTTTCACATTTAGTATTATTTTACAAGAAAGGCACTTTATTTTAACGATTGTATGACATTTGACAACTGTCAACTAACTTAAAAATAACTTCAGCCCGTGACTAAAAACCTGTTGCTATCTTCAGACCGTGAATAAAAACCTGTTGCTAACTTCAGCCCGTGGCTAAAGCGCCGTAAAGCCACAACTTGTCAATGTGTATTTAAAAGGTCACTTAGTGTCATGAAAACATGTACAATAAAGGGCGTTTTAAAGGTGGGTTATTGCATTAATCAGAGCTGCAACAAGTCAGTTTTAAAAAGACTTAAATCTTAAGTCTTAAGTCAATTCTAAAATCAAAATGATTTAAATCTTAAGTCAATTCTAAGATGAAGTTCAAATGATTTAAGTATTAAGTCTTTGAATTAAATTATTTTCTTTCAAGTCAAGTCATTTTCGCAAATTCTTAAATCAATATAAAGTGATTTAAGTCATCTTATGACTTAATTCCTTTAGTAAATCTTTTTTTTTGACTTAAGTCTATATTTTTTATTTAAATCGTGATCTAAGAGTTAAGTCAATAAAATGACTTGAATCAAAAATTGTGATTTAAATCAAAATAATTACCCTTAAGTCAACGATACAATGATTTTTTATGGTATTAATGATACTGATATTATTAATCTATTGTAGATACAGATAATAATAAACCACTATGTTAAGAATTTAAAAGATTTATTTTCAGAACACTTACAAACAAAATAAAAACTTAAAACACATTTTTTGAGTATATAGTAGACAATAAAAATAAAAACTTAAACCACCTTTTTTAGTAGAGTAGGTAGACATACAGGGAGGCTACTTTTTTATATATATATATATACATAAATGGGTAACTTCTAAACGGTAATAGATTCAAACTCTGTTAAAATAGATAAAAGTTGAAGCATTTTTCTAAAAATCGCTGTATTTAAAAAACTGTTGTTTTGTTAACTTTTGTTAGCTGGTTCAACATCCATCTAGAATAAAAATATTCCTCCCTTAAGGGAGTAATGATGGGAAGTTCCAAACTCTCGATTCACGACCGCTCAGATTGTTTTCACTTTGCACTAATAATCACAAATTAGACATAACTATGCACGAACATGACGAATTTTGGCAAACAAAATAACAAAATTATAAATCCCCACTTTTTTAATTCATTTTAGACAGGACATTTTTTAATGTAGCCGTCAAACGGTTCCAAAAAGCTAACTTTACCGCGGCGGTTTTTTTTATCCACTAACGGTAGCAATTGTAGGTAGGAAATTAAAGGAGTTTTTGATCTGCTGCCGCGTGAACCCCTGGCAGTTCAAAAGAAAATGCCGCTGTTAAAAATTTATAAAAAAATATATAAAATAAATCTGACTTAAATATTTTCTAAAAAGACTTAAATCTTTTTCAAAAAGACTTAAATCTTTTTTTGACTTAAATCGTTTCTATCGATAGATAAAAGGCTTAAATCAGTACATACGATTTAAGTCAGATCTGACTTAAATCGTATGTACTGATTTAAGCCTTTTATAAATGACTTAAGTTTTTTCTATTTTGAAAAAAATATTTAAGTCACAAATCAATTTGAAAATTACTTAAATTTTAAGTCTTAAGTCAATTTTAGAGAAATGACTTATTACCAAATGACTTAAGTCATTAAAACGATTTAAATCAAAAAAACGATTTAAGTTTTCTGAGAGGTTGCAGCTCTGGCATTAATGCATATTTTTGTAGGAAATTTAATTTCCTTTAAAAGTATTTTCTACTTTTTACATGTATCTATACAATGGGACTAATAAGTCTAATCAATATTTGACAGTTAAATTTATTGAATCTATTATTTATTGCATTAATTCATGACTATGTGGGAAACAAAATTTTTCATAAAGGTTTTGTTTACTTTTTACCTGTTACTTTAACCGTTTTGCCGTAAAACAACATAGGAATAATTAGTTTAATCAATATTTGATAGTACAATTTATTTAATGCCTTTTATGTACCTATTTTAAGTAAAAGAATCTATGGTATTTTTTTAACATGCATTTTTTATGAAACAACCACGTTAAAAATTATAAAAAAGTCATTTATTTACCTGCTAATATTGCTTTATGAGCTTGGAACTCTCGGCCCGCGACTGATAACGTAACATCACTAAATTTTTGATTTTCAAATAAAAGTCCTAAATCGTCTGATAACCTACACTCTGGAACTTTAAACTGTATCGTATTTGACTGGCCAGAAATATTTACACTGTCTGCAACAACACTAACCTGAAAAAATAATTGCAAATGTTAATTTCAGAAAATATTAGGTAAACACATTTTAACAGGCAATTTTTTGCACCACAGTCAAATCTTTGTTATAATTTAATTGATTCCTAAGGGTGTGTGAATACTTTTTAGAGAATAATTTTATTATAAAACTAATTTAAAAATTCATAATTAAAAATATCCTACAAAAATAAACTTTTTCCCATATTAATTTTATTAAAAGTTAAATTTTAATTTAATTAAGTTACTTATAAATCTCGTTATAAATTTAAAATTGTTTTCAAATATCCCTATATCCTATTACCATAACTTTAATAGGTGGTAATATGTTATCAGAGAGAATATTGTTTTTCCATGGTACCTATATCCATCTAAGCAAAAAACCCATCAAAACAATTTTAAGAATTAACAACAATTAAAAAATGACAAATGTTTTTGTTAGTTTTTAAAATGGTTTTTATCGGTTTTTTTCTTAAATGGATATATATAATCAAATTTCTTAAACGTTTTCCGTTAAGAAAGTGGCTTATTATTGAAATGTGGAGAAAATTTACAACTTTCTTCAAGGGTTACTGTTCAATAAAACAAGATTTTACTTTTCTCCACGCGTAGAATTTATCATTACTATGCGCAAGGGCGTCGATAAGGGGGGTGATGGGGGTAATTACCCCCCAAGATAGAAGTCCTAAGAAAAAAATTACTACAAATATAATTTATGAATGCAAGTCGCCCTCTATAAGTGTGACATAATAAAAGCCTTATTTTATTACTATTACACTAGATGGTGGTAAGGTAGATAGTGAATTGAATTCCCAAAATCGCAATGATTTTCCATCTTGTGCGCATATCTGAAGTACTAAATTTGAATTTTATATTTAAAAAGATTACCTTAAAAAAGAATATATGTTTATGTTCATGAGATATTTAGTTTTGGTACCTGATAATCCTTTTCCACAATATACAACTCGACTATGCAATGGTTCATTGTTTTTTTAAAAATTAATTGGTATATTATGAGAAAGTGAGGTTAGAACTGTCTAACAGATATCAGATTTTATGGGCAACAATTATGATTTTATTTTTTAAAATAAGTATGTTTACCTCTAGAGAATGGACCAACTTTCTTAATTGTTGAACAATATACTATTATAATATATGTATTATAATATATATTATATAATATGTATTTTTTGGAATTTAGGGTGTCTAAAATGTTAAACAAAATGTGTGTAAAGCCCTGAAATTTAGTTTTTCTTGTCTGATAACATATGTTAGCATGTGTTAAAGTTATATCCCTAAAACCCTGTATAAAATATCATTTAAAACTGAGAATCTATTGTTCTTAAAGGTAAGGTTAATAAAAAGCACTTACACTATTAGATTTGACTATGGTACCTAGAAATTCACTGCCCGAACAGAAACTAAACAGAACACAAAAACTCACTTCACAAAATATCGTCAGTTTGTCGTCTGGAAGTAGTCCGTTGGCTTCGTCTAGTAAAAAGTCTCTTCGAATGAACTTCTTGAAGCCCCAATCTTTGCCTTGCACGAACCGGTAGGCACGCTGGCTCTCCATCGCCTTCGTCTCCTCTCGTTTCGCATTCAATATACTAAATTTAAATTTGGCTCGAACTTCACTTTTATTGCACGAAACTAATAAAAGATACAGTGATAGATAGTCTTTGCTTTCTTCGTCTAAACCCTTCGGATTAACCCGCAAACACCTGAAACAAATCAACATTTATAATAAAAAATTACTAAGAAACAACTGTTTAAAAATAATTTTTACACAGGGTGTTTCTATGTCCTATTGGCAACTTTTTAGTAGTTCCAAAAGTTATTTTTGTCTTATTATATGTTATTATTATATTATATTCAAAACAATTGCAATTCTTAAAAAAATATTATTCTGTTTATTCTTCTAAGTTTAATAGTTAGAGGGAGCAAATAAGTAATATTTAATAAATGTATTATAAAAAATCCAAAAATCCGAAAAAATCATAGATGAAGAAAAAAAAGGAAAAGTTAATGTCATGATTATTTTCTCAAAATCTATTTTAAATCTATAGGTAATCTTTAGTTAAATACTTTTTATTATTTATTAAATATTTAATAAATGTATTATAAAAAATCATAGATGATAAAAATAACATATAAAAATGTCATGAATCATGACTCAAGATACATATTTTCTTAAATTACCTAATATGAAAAAAAAATCAAGGAATTTTACAAATGTTTTAGCAAGAGCAGTCATTATGACCTTTCTTGGTAAATCTTGTATGATAAATTATTATTACCACAATCCAGACATCAGCAGATTTATTTAAGGGTACTTAAAAATGTACTACTTATTTAAGTACCCTTAATTAAATTGACTGTTGTGTGGATTGTGGTAGTAATAATTTAGTACCTACATTAGGGTGTCCCTTATTTTTATTTTTTTACGCATACCCTCTAATTATATTTATTACTTGTTTATATACTCCCAGTAAAAATTTCAGCTTATTAAACAAAAGCAATAATATTAATTAGTAGTTAATCATATTTAATAAAATCATTAGAAAAATACAGTCATGAAGTATCTTCTTTTTAAAGTGTTACAAAATACCGCGCGCCTAACGTTGGCTAACGGAGGGTTCAGATGCAAGTCGGCACGGGTTCCCGTTTATAGAATGAGCTGAAATTTTTACTGGAAGTATATAAACACGTAATAAATATAATTAGAGGGTATGCGTAAAAAAAATAAAAATAAGGGACACCCTAACCTACATACTAAAATTTCTATTTTTGTTAACAATAATTTTGTTGTTATTTTTAAAGCAATCCAAATTTATTTTGTTCTTGGGAACATGTGTACTATCATAGTACCATGTTCCATACCCAAAAGTCTCAACTTGACATTTGAATACAAATAATTGAGGTTATCGATCTGTCAGTTTAACGCTAATTTCTTTTTATTATCTAAAAATTATACAATAAATGTTTTTGGGGCATAAAGGTTTTAATACATTATCATTGAGTAAAATGTCATTCCTTAGTCAATGATATTATATTATTTTCAGAAAATTGGGCAAAATTAGCGTTAAACTGACAAATTGAAAACCTTAATTATTTGTATTTGTGGGGACCACCGTGTGAGTACCTAACTATAAAATAATTATTAAATTTTCTTATTACCTAAACATATTTTTATGAAAATTGCTGATTTTTTTCAATTTGCAGTTTAGAAAACCATTATGTTAAGTCGGTAAAAAAGGTTACTCCCTAAAAATATGGGGATTTTCTGCCTTTGTTTGATTTTGTTGGAATGATTTTAAAAAATGTTTTTTTATTCAAAGCTTTCTACAGCTCAGTGTTGCCAACAGTACCATAATAAATTATTATTATTATTAATTATTAATTATTATTATTATTATTAGTAATTGTACCATAATTTGGTCAAATTTTATACCTAATAAAAATTAATTAATTTCCATGCATGCTTTTGCACCGAAATTTAATTAGGCAACGTTTCGATTATGATTAAAGTTTAATTAATTATTGCTGCTAATCCAGTCGTCCTTTAAGCTCCATCCCAACAACACGTGTTTTTTTTTTTTAATAAAAAATATCCAAAAAGATATTTTTAGAATCTGTTTTAAAATAAAACTTTTAATGAACAATTATTTCACGGGATCGCACGAAATTTTAAATACATACACGTGATTGTCACAACATCCACTCCCCCCATAGTGATCAATCGTGATGTTATTTTAACCACAATCCACACATAGATTGTAAAGCCTGATTTATAGATTGCCTTTCTTCCTTCCTCCCTTCCTCACGTAAAAGATGAACAATGCAAAAACCGTTGTGCTGTTTATAGATTCCCGTACGGGAATAACTTTTCAGGTGTACCATTATTTTTATTTTGAGGTTGGCAACACTGACTGTCAGTTGTTTATGGTCAGCTGTTGACAAATACTTAGCAAGCGATTTTCGGCGATTTTAGTGTGTTCGGCCGGCGACTATTGTTAAAATCCACCCATCCATTTAAATGAGGAATGCAGTCAAATAATTTAGGTTATGTATGTATGTGTTGGTTGAAAGGTAATTTCGTCTTATTTTCTGTTTGTGTTATAAATTAACCTTACCTTTAAGGTGAATTTATGCTCACTAAAAATAAGAAATAAGAAATAAAAATAAGAAATAGGAAATAAGAAATAGTTTCATTTGTTGTCATTTATGTCGGAAAAATAATAAAAATAAGAAATAAGAAAAATATGCGAAAGTGACAGTTCCCAAAGCGTTCGTTTCTGGTTTCTTTGGTTGGTGTGTTCTGTGGTAATCTTTTAAAAATGAAAATTAGAATTAAAAAAATGTTATTGCTTACAACAGCATTTTTACTGTTGCAAAAAAGAATTGTTCGTAAGAAACGGGCTGCGAGGCGGTACAGCATTCGACCGCTAAATCGTAGGTAATCGCAGGTTTACGGGAAATTTTTAAAGTAATTAAACAACACAACAATTAAGAATTAACTATTAAAATAACACAAAAACAATCCAAAAACACTAATTATTGTACAAACAGTAATTAAACAACACAACAATTATGAATTAACTATTGCACAAAAGTATTTGCGAATTTCCCGGGCGAAACAAAAACCTGTCAGCTGATGACGAAAATAAATCCTTTGCGCACAAAAATACGCAGAATAAGAATCTTAAGTTGAAAATTGCCAACTTTTATTTTTATTTCTTATTTTTTATTTCTTATTTTCGTGAGCATAAAGTGATGTTAGCAATTATAAACCTTTAACTTTTATTTTTATTTCTTATTTTTTATTTTTATTTCTTATTTCTTATTTTAAGTGAGCATAAATTCACCTTAAGACCTTTATACACAAAACATACCTACATATTGTATTAGTTTCAGAAAATAAGACGAAATTAGCGTTAAACTGACATTATGTATCTACATAATCTCATTTAGACTGCATTTCCTATTTTAATGTCAATGTGGGACTTTTTCATGTGGGGTGTAGTCCTACATTTTTTGTGTCAAATGTGGTAGGTATGCTTTGGAATTTAGCAACACTGCTCAAAGTATATGAAAGTGATTATGATTTTTTCTTTAATCGCCAATTTCGTGTATTGCAAAAAGTAATAAAATACGGGTAAACGTTATATCACAATCCACACAACAAGGTCTATTCTATCTCCTACTAAAAATCACTGCAACACTGCACAGAGTTTAAAGGCGGCCATTTTTGTTGTTTACAATTCTTGTGCTTTGGGTTTATGCTGTTTTTACAGATTAATAATCGTTTTAAACGTTATGTTTCTTACAGAGGTACTTATAAACATATATTTTAGTAAGTTTAGTTTTTCCGCACCTAAATATGCTTAATATAGTGTATTATACTCATTTATATCATAAATTTACAATAAAAATTGGAATTTAAGGGTGAGTTAATGTATACAGGAACTCTTTGTTGGTTGGATTGTGCGTTATATAAAGTTATATTTTCATCGTTGAAATAAAGACCTAACCTCCATTATATTTTATCCTAAGACTGCAATTATTGCAGTATTATACTTATTTAAATTGAAAAGTGTCTTGATGTGAAGGTTAGTAACTTTATTCTTAAAACCAGAGAAAACTTCCTGACAAAACTAACCTAAATTTTACATTGCTGTCAATCGATAATTTTTATGATTGTAAATATTTAAAAATAATAAAAACACATATTTACCACTTTAATTTGTCATTGGCTCCTGCAGAAAACGTAGAAGACTTTAAAACTTCACCCATTTCTTCTCGGCAAAAGCTGAAGTTGTTTATTGTCCACATGTAACTGAATTTGACTACTTTAACCTGAAAAAATACAAATGTAAATTAACAAAGAATTGTTATTAGAAGTTAATTACATACTTTGTTGTTTGTACAAACACCGTCGGACAATTTTGTGTATGAAATAAAAAAGGTTTTTAACTTTTCCATTATTATTAATTAATCGCTATAAATTTAAACTAAAGCATAAAACGAACCGTAAACAATACCTGTCAAAGTTTGCGGGTGGCTTTTGTTTCGGCCGCGTTGGTCGATGACAGCCTACTACGATATTAATGCGATACGATAATTTTGCATATTATTTTATAATTACTTTAATTTAATAGTAATATAAATATAGATTAATAATTTATATTATATAAAAGTAATAATAACATAAAAATATAAATTATATATCTCCTAGAATCTTTTTTTATAGGATAAACTAAAATATTTATAAATAAATTGGGCAACCCTGATATTTCATGGCGCTTGGCAGTAGACCTTTCGATTATAATTAACTCTTATATTACAATAAAAGTGGGTTGAATTGAAACCACTATGAGATTATCTGCTAAATGTAGGTCACGAACCGATATAGGTAGTGAACTACTAATATTTATTAAGTTTCTGTTGTTGATGTAAACAATATTGACCGTATTACTATTCCTTAAAATAATTCAAGTAAAAAAATGGGTCAATAATTTAGGTAACTAGGTGGTTAGATGAAAACGTTATGTGTTTTAAAGATTAGCGCAGAAATTCTAACGGATTTTGGGCGAAGGGCGGCGATGACGTACGCGTGTGCCCTATAAAACCAACGATCTCTGAGATGCGTCCTTGAGAGACCCTAAAATGTGTTTTCATTGTTTATTATTACAGCTTTCACCATTATGTATAGCAAGCTTTACCGGTGACCTCTTTTCCCTTGGCGTTGTGGGCCTGCTGATGCCGTTCACTCTTTTTCTGCTTCTTCTTTTTTTAGTCAGTCGGTACAGTACAGCAGTAGGTTGGTATATTTATTATTCCGGAATATTGCCGAATGAAAGGAGCTTTCTAACCAATTTCTACAGGATTATGTAGATGTTTGGTTTGAGCGTTTCGTGATGATATACTTGCTTGCTTAATTTGGAAACTTTTGCCATTGTGAAATTGCTTTTATTTTTTAAATGCGTTACCTACTTTTTCATGTTACTAAATAATAAATATATTTAATATTGTTGCCCACAGAAGTATCTACTAACAGAAACGTTTAAATATTACGAACAAAGGACATTTTTCGAGCCACTTCCACTATAGAGGGTGTTGTTGTTTATTTGTGTTTGTCCTGTTGTGTATAAGTCCTTCGGAGGGGACTTTAAGCCCGCGGTCTGTTGCTACCACTAACCCGCACAAGCCACTTAGTTGGCTTCTGAGACTAAAGATTAAGTTTCACATATAAAGATACACATTTATATACATTTTCATCCAAGTTGTGATTTTTTTCACCTACTAGATTTTGAATTACCACCACCATCTTTTGTTCTTCCTACCTAGTTCTAAACTATTTTTGGTTTTGACAGGTTTTTAGGTTTTTTTTTAATACTTTTTATAACCGCTAGGTTTTTTTCCAATTTTTAAATTTAATTTTAATAGACTTGTAATTTCGCATCTTTTCTCTGATATAACCTTGTAGCTTTTCAAATAATTGTATATTATGTATCAAGTTATAAACGCCATTTTAGTTACGAGTTTTATTAGGCACGAGCGAAGCTTGCGAGCGAGTGTTTTAAACGAGTTACTTTATCTACGACGCGACGAACAAAAATAAGAATTTAAAGTCAATTTTAATTCATAAATATTTGACATTTAACCTCACTTTTTTTCAATTTACAATAAAGCCAACTTCAGTCCGTGACTAAAACGCCATAAAGTCACAGCTCGTCAATGTAGGAGTAGATAATAGTATATTATGTGTCAAGTTTTATAGACTCCATTTTAGTTACGAGTTTTATTAGGCACGAGCGAAGCTTGCGAGCGAGTGTTTAATGAAAACGAGTGTCTAGAGAAGTTTATAAAACGAGTTGCATACTATATTTTATCTACGACGAACAGAAATAGGAATTTAAAGCCAATTTTATTTTATAAATATTTTACATTTGACTAATTTAACCTTACTTTTTCGCAATTTATAATAAAGCTAACTTTAGCCCGTGACTAAAATGCCATAAAGTCACAGCTCGTCAATGTAGGAGTAGATAATAGTATATTATGTATCAAGTTTGATAAACGCTTGCGAGCGAGTGCTTAAATTAATGAGGGTATAGAAAAGTTTATAAACGAGGTGCATACTATACTTTTTCTACGACAAATACTTATAATTATCTTAAAATTAATTAATTAATAAAATATTTGTATAGAGCGCCATCTATGAAACAATATGGGAATCTGTGTGTCACCATCAAATGTCAAATTTTTATATTTTATAAACACAAATTATAAAGGTTATAAATCGAAATGTATTCCTTGAAAATGGACAGTTTTTCACAGTGAAAGTAAAGAAAATGTTTTATGAGCACTTTACAGTGGAGTCCGTGCCCGAATTTAAGTTATAGTTTACTACAGGCGAAATTAAAAGGTCAGTACAATGTTCATATAAACTTTTCAAATATTGGCGTTAAGAAACTATTTAATACTTTTGTATTTTTGTATTGAGATAATAAAATAATTTTTAAATTTAGTATTATTTTAACGATTGTATGACATTTGACAACTGTCAACTAACTTAAAACTAACTTCAGCCCGTGACTAAAAACCAGTTGCTAACTTCAGCCCGTGACTAAAGCGCCATAAAGCCACAACTTGTCAATGTGTATTTAAAAGGTCACTTAGTGTCATGAAAACATGTACCTACGATAAAGGGCGTTTTGAAGGTGGGAGTAGAAAAAGGGTATTTATATACTTGGATACTTGGTAACTTTGTATTTTTTATGTTATTAAATTAACTCTCTAAATCATAACAGTTTTATTATACTTATACCTTTTAAAATAGACCTAAACTTCTACTTTGGATTTTTTTGATATTTTTGATAATAAATGATAAATTGGATATGGCGGGACTACGATAAAAAATATCACACAAATATACTCGAGTACAAAATTTAATAATGTAGGTATCTGAGTAGAAAATAATATACAGTAGTTAAGTAAAACAAAATTTAATGTAGTCGTGTAAATTTTTTATTTAGTACAAGCAGAGCTGTGCGGTACTCGAGTACAAGTACTCAAACACTGTACTCCAAGTACTTTCAGTGTACTCGGTACTCAGTCCCGAGTACTTTAATTTGAATGTACTTATACTTGTACTTGATACATTTAAGATTGCAAAAATGTACTCGAGTACTTTCTCGTGTACTCGAGTACTTTTACGTGTACTCGAGTACATCCAAAGTATGCAATGAGTACATTTTTATGCGGTGAGGTTGTCGTGGACACATCTGTGCAAATATGTGCGTGGGTGTTGAAAATTTGGCAATGCAGCCTCAGACAGCCTCAATCAATAAATAAAAATACACAGGAAAGAGCATTAAACAAAAGGTTTTTACTTATGTATGAAATGTAATTTTGTTTATATTTTGGTAGAAATAAGGTGACAATATTCCTCAAAAAGATAATTAAAAAATAAAGCTAAGACAAAGTAAAACAAGATACTAGCTGGCCTTGATAATTAACATAAAGCGAAATATCAATATTTGATGAAGGCAATAGGCCGGCTAGTATTTAGTTTTGCACTAGTCATTCTAAATTCATTTCTTAATGGCCCATTTCTCTAGTATTTTTCCCAACATTTCATAACTAAATTGTACTCGGTACTTTGTACTCGTATGGGTACTCGAGTACAACGGTACTGTACTTGTACTTGGTACTCGAGTACTTTTATATAAGAGTACTTGTATTCAGTACTCGAGTACTTTTTCATTGTACTCGGAACAGCTCTGAGTACAAGTACAAAATGTACTCTGGACTAAAAGTACATTATCTATTATATTATAGGTATATAATTATTGCTGTAGCTTTAAACTAAAGAAGTCCGCAGTTGCGATGATAAAAAACATTTATTTGAGTTTTTAAGGTAATAGTTATTTATATCATAATTGTGAGAGCGAGTCTTTTTATGCTAAGCTCAAAGTTAGAGAGAAACACAAAAAACACTTCTCAGCCGATTGGCATACTATCTTCAAGGCACAATTTTATTTGTTAAACGATACATAAAACGTACAATTATAATAATTATTATTAAAAGTAGAATGTGAGGTTAGGTAAATCTGACAGTTATCAAATTGTTTGATTGGTTCAAGTGTTGACAATAATAGTTAGTAAATTATAGACCGCTTGAACATAAAAAATGGCCAAAAAATATAACCAACGACCTGTAGTTTATTAATAATCTTAATATTAATAATATTGTCGATTTAACCACGTAGGTATGTATATCCGTGTATAATTGATAAATTATGATGTAAAGATAAAAAATAAAACAAAATATAAATTGATTGTTGAAGATGTCATAACCGATCGTGGGCAATCACCTGAAGCGGTATCTTTAAAAAAGGAGAGAAGAGGCAACTGAATTTTTTTGTAAGCGAATAATTGACCTTTCATTAAACTACCTACTTATCGGCAGGCAGGTAGGCAAGCGGGCAGGCCGACGAGAGAGGCACACATACACACGACACTTTTATAACCAAACCAGGACAACCTACATTTATGAATTCTTATTGAATCTAGTTACTAAAATATAGGTACACTACGAAACGATATTCGAACCAAAATACAACGTGCAACTGATAAAAAACCATTAATTTTAACATTTTTTCCATGTTAAATTAATTTTTAATTGCTTTTAAATAAGCAACTTTTGTTGAATTTAATATTAAGTGTACTAACAAATATTTTATGTACTTCTACATTGACGAGCTATGAGTTTATTGCGTATGGCTGAAGTTCGCTTTTTTATAAATTTGGAAAAAGTGAGGTTAAATTCGTTGACAGTTAACAGATGTCAAATGTTCATGAAACAAAATTGTCTTTAAATTCTTATTTTTATTCGTCGTAGATAAAGTATAGTATCATCGGCTGAAGTAGCCGTAAACACATTGTTGATAGTTATAAGAGGCATAGTTTAAATTTTATAGGCAACCGTAAACACCTGCTAATTAAATTGTCAGCTATTGTTATGAAGAATCTGGCATTAACGGCCATAAAATTACGGTAATGCACTCTTGATTTCGTTCGCTTATTCCCGACGACACAAGTGCATAGAGCAATTAAGCGATTTGAAAATTATGTTGAACTCCTGTAATTATGTCTATTTTTTATCTAGGTATGGTTTTATTATATTTTACGAAATGTTACAAGTACCTATACATTACAAGTAAATATTTCCAGAAAATATTGCAATTTAAGTCAGATATGCCTTGGAAAACGTATGTCCGTCAATATGACTAAATTTTGAGAATTATTTAATAATAGTGATCTTTTTAAAACATATTTCTGTGGATCTCTCAAAGCACTTTTTAAGATATTTTGCCCCTTCTAATTTTGTGTTCTTTTTAATTATTTGAATTCCTTTTTTATGGTTTGTTTCCCCTTCAAAGTACTTTTTAATAATTTTTGACGCCTCTAAGGCAATTTTAATTATAAAAATCGTTCCATATAAACACATTTAAAGTATAATTATAATTTAGTACCCTTTCGAAGAGATTAAAAAATGTGCCTTACATTGACCATTTTTAAATTAATTTTAATCCTTTAAAAATCGAGGTGATGGGGGAAACAGTAAAGTGGGTTAAAGTTACAAAATATATCAGTTAGGGCCGGTTTATCAATGTCCGGTTAAATTTGCAGTTAGTTATCTGGTAGATAATTTCCATGGATACCATTGTTCTCACAACGATCGATATACAGGGTGTCCTGAAATTAGTGCACCATACTTTAACAGCAGATTCTACGTGCAAAAATAAGAAAAAAAGTCCCTATAAACATAGGTCAAGAAATGCCTCTTAAGGGAGCTACAGCCCCCAAAAGGAAAGCCCCTGAAGATAGTTTTTATTTAATATCTCCAAAACCGTTAAAGATATAAAAGTGAAATTTGGGGAATTAATTAAACTTTTTATGACCAATAAGACGTACAATAATAATTTAAAAATTTTTATGAGGTTTGGGTCAGATTTATAGGAAGTAGGGTTAAAACCACCTTAACTTTTTTGTACGTATCTTGTACCAGAATTTGGTGTCAGATTATGAAATTTTAGAGTTTTGCAAATAAAAAAGGTCATCTTGTTGAACTTCGATAACATACACCGTTTTCGCATAAAATCTATTTGAAATAGCTATTTACATACCATGGGAGGAAAATATTGCATTTCCTCCCGCGAATAGTTTGATGCCCGACGCGAAGCGAAGGGCATTCAATATTCAAGGGAGGAAATGCATTTTCCTCCTGAGGTATGTATATAGTTTTTTATATTACCTTTTAACGGTTTTAAGACATTTTAAGCGTTCCGGTTCCTTTTACTTACCCGGTATGGGGCTATAAAATTATGACAAAATATTAAGTAGGTTTTGCGTCGCCGACGTTATGTTGACAACGCTTTGTTGCTATGGTATTTTTGGTAATACCAACATAACAGTTTTTATAAGCTGTCATAATGTTTATCATAAATTTAATAGTTGCAATTAATTTCCTTCCTTAAAAATCTAAAATAGTGAATATGAATATAGTTTGTTAAAAGAATGTTAAAAAAATGGTTAGACAAGCGCGGAGTAAATCTTTTTCCTACAAAATCAAATAAAGCTAGACAAGGTACAAAAACTCTTGCCAATATAAAAATTTAAAAAAAAAGAGGGAGGAAATTTTTTTTCCTCCCGGGGAGGAAAAGAGGCATTTTCCTCCCTCGCTCGGGGGTGGAAAAATAAGTTTTCTAGTAAGGTAGTAGAAAAATTATTTTACATGGCATAAAAATTCACAATTAAATCACAACCATAGAAATGGACTCGCGTGGTCCTTGGAATACGGCTGCCATGTTTAGGAAAAAATAGAATAATTCAAGACAGGTGACAGTTTCATGTAGTAAGTGACAGGGTGTTTCTACTTTTTTATTTATATTAGATAAAAACCATCTTCAGGGGCTCCCTTTTCGGGGGCTGTAGCTCCCTTAGGAGGCATTTCTCGACCTATATTTATAGGGACTTTTTTCTTATTTTTGCACGTAGAATCTGCTGTTAAAGTATGGTGCACTAATTTTGGGACACCCTGTAGAGTTTAACTGTCAGATAGACTAACTGGAACTTAACCAGAGATTGATAAACCGGTCCTAAGTGTTTCTTTAAAATTTGATGATTTCAGAATAGTGTGTTATTTAATTGTTTGTAAAGTTAATTTTTTTTTATCTGGTTGGTGGCTTATGCCAGTTTGACTTAGTATTTTTAATATTTAAAAATGGTACTTGTGCTAAAGAATTTAATTAAATACTTTGATTCACCATTGGACAACATTTACGTTCACAAAAAATTTTAATTTCTTTTATATAAATTCTTTTCAAAGCAAAGATTATTATCCGCTAGGAATACTTTCTCTTCTGGGCCGTAAAGCAACCTATATTTAACTTCTTTTTTTATATGATTTTACTCACCCAAGCACCACCAAAGCCAAATTAATTGCATTTTTAACTACGAATTTCGACAACTCAACTTGACAACTGCACAATGTAACCTACAATAATTTATACATAACCACAATTAGATTTATAACTAGCTTAGTTTGTTTTAATCAATGCGACCAACTTGACAACTGTATTTACCAACTCTAAATTTGCAACGTTGCCTCAGTCCAGATGAAAAAAATGAGTTTATGTTATTTTTGTGTTTATTTAAGTTCTCAATTTCCAACAAATATTTTTGACATTGTCATAGCATTTTTCTATTAACTTAAAATATTTCTCATATCAGATCATTTAAAATTTAACACAAGACTTGAAATCAAGTGCGTTTACTTATCTCAAATGACAAACTGTCATCCAAGCAACGTCAACTTTAACTAGGGCTGCCAGCCCTCCCGATTTAGGCGGGAGTCTCCCGGTTTTACAGCAAGCTTTCAGATTTTTAAACAAATTCTTAAAGCTCCCGATTTCCTTAAAAACTCCCGTTTTTTGGCAAGCTTAAGCGTAATTACGAAATACATTTCCTTAAAAAAATGTAGTTCTATGATTTTCAGTTTAATGGTTATTGCCTGAAAAAAAGGGAGAAATTCACTTTCCCTGGAATTGGAAATAATGGTTAACTTTACTGAATCTTGTCAGGAATTGGCCATTAATGGGAACGATATTATTAAAAGAGTGGGAACAAACCTGAAATACTCTTAAAGTTATGTATAACCATTAGTTTTTATTAAAAGTTGGTCATATGTTCCACCAAAATGTATGATTTTGTCTGAATAAAATTTTATTGTTTTAACCTCCCGCATTTTGATTTCAAAAATCTGACAGCCCTATAGGGCTTTAACTTTAACCAGAATAACATTAACAACAAAGAGATGATATTATCAAAAAATGTAGACCGACGGAAATTCTTTCGAGGAACAAAAGAATCTCCTGCGCTCTTTTAGTCTATGCAAATGTTTGTTGGTCTCTTACCTGCGTGTAGCACCAATTTTCTGCGACCGGAGTGTTGACCTCTTGAGGTGGTGGACTGGGTACGCGACTCACGGCCATGGTACTCGTGGGGTGCAGGTTGGAGGTAACCCGGGCCGTTTGACCGGCCGAGCAGTCACTCACCCCCGGCAACCTGCAATTAAACCAAGGTTAAACATACAATCTCGGTGTGCTTTGCAAAGGATTTGATCGTATGCCCTTCTTAGAAGAAACGAAGTCTTGGCCGTCTGGGACGTTGGCATGCCGAAAGGCCGTCGAAGAATTCGCAAACGAGAGACCTCGTGGGACATTTTTTTGAAATTTTAAACACCAAAACTTTAAGTCGAGTATATTTTAGCACTGCGTTAAAAATTATTGTTTTTCACGCTTCATGTCATTAATTTTTGTCTACTCCCAAAATTTAATTCATTTAATAAACATTTCCTACCTTTACAATAGTGAGATCTATTATGATACAAATTTTTCAATTCGGCAATATTCTGTCAATATCAATTATTGCCTTGGGCATCTATCTACAAAAATTTTTTCTACATATTAGTTAGGAAAAGGCCTACATTTCAAAGTTTAAAACTTGGTTTGCTATTTTATTTTCAAGAATTTAGATATCGCAATAATAATAATCTAAAAAGCATTTAATTTATTAGCGATTGATTGCATTTATTTATTTATTTTTATTTAGTTTTTGGGTTACCTTAATCAAAAGGTTATCAATCATGCCGAAGTTCCATTTTAATAATGAAATGCGAAGAAATCAGTATAAATACCACTTAAAACTAAACATTTCAAAAAAACCTTGTTTTCTTAAATTTAGATTAATCAGTAGATTTAATTAATTAATATGTATAATCTAAGATTCGTAGATTAAAGTACAATAATGAGTGAAAAGTATTATGTATAAAGTTTGACAAACGCCCTTTTAATCACGAATTTTAAATAAAAAAAATTGAAATATTTTTTTTTATTTAAAAAATTAAAATTATTATTTTTTTAAAATAATTTTTGTTTTATGCAAAAATAAACGGTGAGACACGCGCACGTTTTTTTAACCTATATTTTCAAAATCTGTTGAAATTTTTTATGGAAGGGAAATCGTGTTGAAGTGTTTTATATACTAACTAGGGGTGTCAATCCCGGGATCCCGAAATCCCGGGGTCCCGGGATCCCGTAAAAAATCCGATCCCGGAAATCCCGGGATTAAAAGTCCCAATCCCGGGATCTTACTAATAAGTTACAAAGAATAAAATAGACTTTTTTTTAAGCGTATGACATTTTTTATATTATAATACTCATGAGCATATATATAAACAATTCATTTTTTACTCAGTTTAAGTCAAATTATTATACACCGCCGTACAATAATGAAAATACATTGAAATAACATAGCAAGAGTGGTTCCATCTATAGCATAAAATCAGCAAAGAAAATGTAAAATTACAGGTCACTGTAGAATAAATTTATGTACATAACCTATAATATAACATATTTCAAACGTCAAACCTGAAAAAATGTCACAAACTTGATACGCGTGAGTACAATGTGCCTACGAATTCTTGAAAACCATTCTTCCGACTAGTGTGAAGTCCGAAAGATATCGTTCGTTAGTTTGTTTATTGTTTTATTTTAAATTGGTTTTAAAATTAATGATATATATTTTTTCGGGACTGATCCCGGGATTAGTTACCTTTGGTCCCGAAAGGCCCGGGATTGGAAAATGGGCTCGGGATTGACACCCCTAATACTAACTAATTTAAATATTTGTATTGAGCGACATCTATACAAAAACATTGTAACCATTTTGGTTTTACCGGCTTTAACAATGTCAGTGTTTGTCCAATTTTTTTGTAAAAATCGAAATTTCTCCCTTAACCAACCGTTTGAATCCGATAAAAAAATTAAGGATCTTCAGCTTTTTTCATGTCATAAAGTTGATATTAGGCTTCGACACATCAAAGTTATATTCTTTATATCCTTCAAGTCAAGGACTTTGCTCAAGTATTTTGTAATATTTAGTAAATAATTTACCTTACTTTTTTAATAGAGACGTTGTTTTTATAAATCCTTTAACAAAAAAATTACAATAAAATATTAAAACATCAATATTATAAATTAAAAAGCCAATACATTTTTACATTACGCAAAAAGTTGAATAATGTAACTTCTATGCACACCAAAATATGCACGTATTACTTCAAAATCAATCATAAATATTTTATGGCGTCGTAAAATATTAACTGCCTGGTTATCCGTTTATTATTCCATGCACTTTAATATTAGTTAATTATTTAAACATAATTTTTCATGTCAATTTACCACAAATTTAAGGCACAACCTTTTAGGTTAATTTTTTGTTTAAATGTCATGTTTTACATTTTATGTTGGTTGCAAGAAGACTAAACAAAGGAGGGTAACTCTTGACCACAAGGCATAATACGTAGTACGTACATACGTTTTTTAGCGTTACTCCTCCTGAATTTAGTCTTCTTGGTTGGTTCTGTGTTTGCAAGCAAAGCTTTGTTGATTTATTTTGTAAGAACATAATTTTTGAAACTGCACACTCATATTTAAAATTGTTTTGAAACTACTTTATAGCAATTAGTTGGAAGTTCCGACTAATACAAATAAAAAATCTTAAAAATTACTAGGAAAACTGCACATTTGTTTTAAGTTTAGATTACTTTTTTTCTATTTATATCGCGTTTTTGTGACATTTAATTGTGTTTACATTCACCGAAATTTACTGATAAAATGCTCGCCCAAGGCTGCAAAATATTTATCGAGATTATATTGCATCAAGTTAATTATTATTTCGGGTGTATAATGTAATGTTTGGATTTAAGATAACAAGTTTTAAGGATAATAAACAAAAAAATTCATATCTGAAATCTAACGACCTCTCGATGTTTGCCGATATGTAAAAGTGAAATCTGGCAATGTGTGTTTAATAACATCATAATAATTAGGCGACACTGGCGTCAAGATCGGTTCAGTTCAGTTTTATTTAATTTTTTTAGTACTATTTCGCCGCAGCAAGGTTAGTTGCCGCTATTTAAAAATGTTTATTTAATTTCAAGGTGGCAAGATAGAAGTTTTGTTTTCTTATTTTCGGCACCCTTGACAATAGTTCATCGTCTTGACGCAAGCGGTTGCAAGGGCGGCACCTCGTGTTTTTTTTTTAAATAATGATCTCACAATTTACAAGCTGGTAGAATTTAGAATGAAATATTACACCAATGTCAATGTTTTTTTATTTTGTATTTAATAGGTAATTTTTATTTCTTTTGTATTGTTGGTAAAAATATTTTTGTTATAAAATGTTTAATATACAAGGCATGGTTAAAAAAATTTAACAAATTGTGTTAATTTTTTCCTATTTAAAAAAAATTAGTATTTTTTACTGCTTTAATTTTTAATGTTTCTTAAAAAACAATTTAAAAAACGCGATCATTGTTGGTTAATTCTAATTCAAAAAAACTTTTTTAAGGTTTTCAACAACCTCTACTGCGCTTGCGTAGTATGGGCCAGCATCTTCATTTTTTTTCTTTGCTTGTTCTGCAACATTAGCTGGCCATACACAGACGTTCTTGCGCGCGGTTTATCGTGTTATCTGCAAAAACATATGGAAAATCATGTGTGTGAGTGAGTATCGCCGCGTGCAATGATAGAACGGGAAGGGATTTCAGACGTGCTTTCCTCTGGAGTGTGGAGTGTCCACACGCCACATTCCGCGTCACGGTTTACCTTTGCCTGGCAAAATTTCACGTTGAAAATTTGTACATGATCACATGCAGTTTCAAAGGACTCGATAAATGACACTTTTTGCCCACTCACATACGATTTTTCCTTTGAAACTGATATACCACGGGCAATCACTTGCTAAATCATTTGAATACTTTATCAAGTGTATGGAACATGACGCTTTTTTTGCCATGCCGTTCTTTCGTGCATACTAACCGCTACATCCCAACACGCCACGATAAACCGCGCGAAATAACGCCTGTGTATGGCCAGCTATTAGCTGGCTATACACAGGCGTTATTTCGCGCGGTTTATCGTGGCGTGTTGGGATGTAGCGGTTAGTATGCACGAAAGAACGGCATGGCAAAAAAAGCGTCATGTTCCATACACTTGATAAAGTATTCAAATGATTTAGCAAGTGATTGCCCGTGGTATATCAGTTTCAAAGGAAAAATCGTATGTGAGTGGGCAAAAAGTGTCATTTATCGAGTCGTTTGAAACTGCATGTGATCATGTACAAATTTTCAACGTGAAATTTTGCCAAGCAAAGGTAAACCGTGACGCGGAATGTGGCGTGTGGACACTCCACACTCCAGAGGACAGCACGTCTGAAATCCCTTCCCGTTCTATCATTGCGCGCGGCGATACTCACTCACGTACATGATTTTCCATATGATTTTGCAGATAACACGATAAACCGCGCGCAATAACGTCTGTGTATGGCCAGCTATTAATCACCTCGATGTCATGATAAAAAAATTTGGTTGGCACCGTTGACATCTGAAAACTGTCAAGCAGTTTTAACCTCAATTTTTTTAAATTTTAACTAATAAAATGGGCGTCGAATAAAAGCTATTAAATTTTTTTTATAAAATATCTATGGCACGCCGTTTTACTTTTTAATGACATCAAAAAATTAACTCAAAACAAAAATTACCGAAATTAAAAATTGCCTAGAAAATATAAACGTTCATAAAAATTACTAAAATAAATTTAATTATAAATTAAAATCTACCAATTTATTTTTTGGTGTATCAGATAAATTTCCATATATATTTACATCGTTCTGGTGTGATCTATATTTTTAAGCCTCAGTTTTTATTGTATGAATATTTTTTTCTATTCAAACAGGGTGTTTATATCTAAATAATACCATTTCATTTATTAATTTAAAACTAAGTTAAAGTAGAATATTTATGTTGTTATAAAAATTAGACAAGATTTAAATCTGTAAGCGCAAGACGAATTTTCTCGATGAAAAATTCGATGGATTAAAATGTTGGTTATCACTCGTAAAAAGAATTTTAATTCGGCGCTAGTGCATAGTGCGGTTGTGTTACGTACTACTGCTACTAAGCGAAATTACATAACGTCGAAGGTACATAAGCTCGAAAATAA